CATATCCGAGGAGTATGTGGAGGCTGTGGAGGAGCTGCTGCAGTGGGAGGAGACCAACCACAAGGAAGGCCAGCCATATGTAGGTTTTCGTTTTTCCTTTCAACCGCTTTTGTGTGCTAACCAAATATAAGTGCAAACACTTTGCCCACACAGAGCTGGGAGGCAGTGGACCGTTCAAAGTCAACGTTCACCATGGACATAACCCCCCTGATTCTGGCTGCACACCGCAATAATTATGAGATACTTAAAATACTGCTAGATCGGGGTGCCACACTGCCAATGCCCCACGACGTCAAGTGAGTAAGCTTGCAACACTTCCAACTGGCACGTTTCGTTGTGTCCCAAATGACAAATTAGTAAATTAGGAGGAGCTCCTCACGGGGATGGATGGTGTCTATAGAGGGTGTGTTTGTTTTCCTGCAGGTGCGGCTGCGATGAGTGCGTTACCTCTCAGACCTCGGACTCCCTGCGCCATTCGCAGTCGAGGATCAACGCGTACCGGGCGCTGTCTGCCAGTTCCTTGATAGCACTCAGCTCGCGGGACCCTGTATTGACAGCCTTTCAGCTGTCCTGGGAACTGAAGCGCTTGCAGGCAATGGAGTCGGAATTCCGTGCCGAATATACGGTACGGTAGCAAAAAGCGTAGGCGCCGATACCATTCGAATGCGACCAACTGTTTGTGTTTGTGTTTGCGTTTGTGTTTACTCAACAGGAAATGCGTCAAATGGTGCAGAACTTTGTCACGTCTCTCCTGGACCACGCACGCACATCGATGGAGCTGGAGGTGATGCTCAACTTCAACCACGAGCCGTCGCATGATATTTGGAGTCCTGGCCAGAGGCAGACCCTCGAAAGATTGAAGCTGGCCATCCGATACAAGCAGAAGACTGTGGGTCGCTCTTTCTCTCTCTCTCTCTGGTGTACGATTTTAATGCATTCCCTTTCGACAGTTTGTGGCCCATCCGAATGTCCAACAATTGTTGGCTGCCATTTGGTATGATGGCCTGCCGGGCTTTCGACGCAAACAGGCCTCCCAGCAGCTCATGGATGTCATCAAGCTGGGTGGCAGCTTCCCCATCTACAGCCTGAAGTATATTTTGGCGCCGGACTCAGAGGGGGCCAAGTTCATGCGCAAGCCCTTCGTCAAGTTCATCACACACTCCTGCTCGTACATGTTCTTTCTGAGTGGGTATGGCAGCAGTTGCATTGAGCATTGATCCCTACCACTTCCTATCCGCAGTGCTGCTGGGTGCCGCCTCGCTGCGAGTGGTGCAAATCACCTTCGAACTTTTCGCCTTTCCGTGGATGCTGACCATGCTGGAGGAATGGCGCAAGCACGAACGAGGCTCCCTACCAGGTCCCATTGAACTGGCCATCATTACCTACATCATGGCTCTGATATTGGAGGAACTCAAGTCGCTGTACTCCGACGGCTTGTTCGAGTACATAATGGATCTTTGGAACATTGTCGACTACATATCGAACATGTTCTACGTCACGTGGATTCTTTGCAGGGCGACAGCCTGGGTTATAGTTCACGTAAGCCGCTGGCCGCTGGCCACTCCCCCATAATCTAGCCACTGCCATTACGTTTTGCTTTGCCCATCCGCAGCGAGATCTCTGGTTCCGCGGCATCGACCCGTACTTTCCCCGCGAGCATTGGCATCCGTTCGATCCGATGCTGCTCTCGGAAGGAGCTTTTGCTGCTGGCATGGTCTTTTCCTACCTGAAACTGGTGCACATCTTCTCGATAAACCCGCATTTGGGACCGCTGCAGGTCTCGCTGGGACGCATGATCATCGACATCATTAAAGTTCTTCTTCATCTACACTCTGGTGCTGTTCGCCTTTGGCTGCGGCCTGAATCAACTCTTGTGGTACTACGCGGAGCTGGAGAAGAACAAGTGCTATCACCTACATCCCGATGTGGCTGACTTTGATGACCAGGAAAAGGCATGCACCATTTGGCGACGATTCTCCAAGTGCGTGGGAGGAGCGCGGGGAGCTGCGCCACCCTCTTTGTACTATACGAGCATATTCACCCCCCTGATGTATGTATGTGTCTGCTTTCAGCTTGTTCGAGACTTCGCAGTCGCTCTTTTGGGCATCCTTCGGCCTGGTGGATCTCGTCTCGTTCGATTTGGCTGGCATCAAGAGCTTCACGCGGTTCTGGGCCCTTCTGATGTTTGGCTCCTACTCGGTAATCAATATCATTGTGCTGCTCAACATGCTGATTGCCATGATGTCCAACTCGTATCAAATCATTTCGGAGCGCGCCGACACGGAATGGAAATTCGCACGCTCCCAGCTGTGGATGAGCTACTTCGAGGATGGCGGCACCATACCACCGCCCTTCAACCTATGCCCCAACATGAAGATGTTGCGCAAAACTCTCGGACGAAAGCGGCCATCAAGGACCAAGAGCTTCATGGTATGTATGTACATATATGTACGTATATATGTATGTATGTCAAAGGTGACCTCACAGAAAGAAGTCGAGGCACAGCACGGGCACAGCACGGGCACAGCAATCAAGACAAATCATTTACCAAATCATTTTCAATCAAGCCCATGCAGCTTTCTATTAGTCCAATCCTTGCAACCCACTCTCTCTACTATCTCTCTCTCTCTGTTTTTCCCTCTGGGTATGTTGAACAGCGTAAGTCCATGGAGAGGGCGCAGGTTCTGCATGACAAAGTGATGAAGTTGCTGGTGAGGCGGTTTGTAACAGCCGAGCAGAGGAAGCGGGACGACTACGGCATTACCGAGGATGATATCATTGAGGTGCGCCAGGATATTAGCTCGCTGCGCTTCGAACTGCTGGAGATTTTCACGAATAATAAGTGGGATGTGCCCGACATTGAGAAGAAGACAGCGGGTAACAGACAGTGTGAAGGTTTGAAGCGGGGACCCCCCCTTAATTAGGATAAATATATTTACAGGAGTCGCTCGCACCACCAAGGGCAAGGTAATGGAACGCCGCATCCTCAAGGACTTCCAAATCGGTTTTGTTGAGAATCTGAAACAGGAAATGAATGAGAGTGAGAGCGGACGCGATATCTTCGCGTCGTTGGCGAAGGTCATTGGCAGAAAGAAGACGCAAAAGGGGTAAGTGATTGGGGGGAAATACTTGTAATGGAAATAGAAATCATTGCTGATCATTTCTGATCATTGCTGCCCATTTTATAGTGAAAAGGACTGGAATGCCATTGCCAGGAAGAACACCTTTACTGCGGATCCCATTGGCTCCAAGCGCTCCTCCATGCAGCGCCACAGTCAACGCAGTCTGAGGCGAAAGATCATAGAGCAGGCCAATGAGGGTCTGGCCATGGACCAGAGTCAACTGATTGGTAAGGGCGATATCCGTAGCCATGCTGTGACTATTCATCCACTTGGTATTCATTTCTCATAATGGACAGAATTCAACCCGAACTTGGGCGAAGTTACGCGTGCCACAAGGGTCGCATATGTCAAGTTTATGCGGAAGAAGATGGCTGCCGACGAAGTGTCGCTTGCCGATGACGAGGAAACCCCCAAAACCGATGAGGAAAGAAAACTGGAGGGCACCATGGTAAGCATTGGGGAAATGGGCTACATTTTCTGCAATTTTCATACCATAATTTACACCTGATTTTACTCTAGTCCAAGAAATCAGCCTCCAGTGCGGGTGGCGGGGCTGCTGCGTTGGCTACAGCTGCATTGGGGAGAGCATCTGTGAAGAACGTCGATGAGAAATCCGATGGCAATGACAACAAAAGCGCTTTGAAAAAGCCATCGGACGACAAGAAACCCACAGCTGAGGTGAAAAAGCCAGGGGAAGAGAATAACAAGGATAAGAAACAAGACTCTAAGCCAGCAGCAGCTCAAGCAACTGCTGCAAAGGCTTCCGATCAGAAGCCAGTGCCGGCAGCAGGGGCACCGAAGCCCCAGGGCAGTGTGAACGGCTCAAAGCCGAGCGACCAGCAGAAGCCAAACGCCCCGGCTCCACCGTCTAAGCCAGCAGACACGAAGCCAGCGCCTCCCAAGCCAGGAGAACCTGCTAAGCCTGAGGCTGCTGCCAAAAAGGAGGAAGCTGCAAAGAGCGAGGGTGCCAAGCCCCCCGTAACCAGTGGAGCTGCCAAAAGTGCTGCACCGTCGGCACCAGCGGATGCCAAACCTGATCCTAACACGAAGACATCAGCCTCGGGAGCACCAGGGACCACCAAGGCTGCCAACGAAACCACCAGTGCAGCCAAGCCCGATGACAAAAAGTCAGGCGGTGAGGAGCAGAAAGGCTCGTCTGATGGAAAGTCGCCAGCCCCCACGAAAACTGACGAAGCGAAACCAGGCGAAGCCAAGTCCGATGATGCGAATAAACCTGGGGAGGATAAGGACAAGAAACCCAGCGACAAGGACGATAAGGATAAGAAACCGGCTGATGACAAGGACAAGAAGGGAGCACCAGCACCCCTAAAACCGGCCATCAAGGTGGGTCAAAGCAGTGCCGCGGCTGGCGGCGAGCGGGGCAAGTCTACGGTCACAGGTCGCATGATTTCCGGCTGGCTGTAGGCATCTCCAGAGATCACCAAGTCACACCCGATATAATATTAGATAATAGTAACCCAATGTATTAGTGAACCAGAATGTGAGCAATAAAGTAAAGTTTCCAATGCAACACCGAAGCCAGCAACTTGTTTCCAGACACTTTTCAGACTGCGACTGCCCGCTGGCCATTCACTTAATTCATTCATTTACATTCGCGTACTCCCTGGCCTGAGTGTTCTGTTCGTCTTCTTTGTATTTGCATGGAACATGTTGCCGGGGCCACCTGTTGCCAACACCCACTGTTGCTGCAGCAACATTTTGTCAGCCTCCCTGTTGCTCTTGACGTAATTTATTCACGTCCGGCCAGGCTCTGTTTCTGTCCTGGCCCTATAAAAGACCATGAGTTGCGACTAGGACCATCAGAAAAACGTTGAACGTGCATAAGGAAACATTTGTCGGAACCAACAACTCTAACACTACCCCCCACATATATATTTTTAGAGTTCTTAGTTTTTGAAAAATGAAAACCATTTTCAGTCTGTATAACATTGTTAGTGCCATTTTGCTGCTTGTTTTGCTGGCAGAATTCAGTACTGCAGGTGAGTGGGAACCCATCTACTTATCGTAGCATAAGATTGTCGTAAGGTATATTTTAACATGTTTACACAAAGTGAATCACTCAGCTTAAATGGTTAATTCAAAAAAGAATCCTTTAAAATAACTAAAATTAATCCACCGATGATTTCCACTACGATCTGGACCCCAACCAAATCCCACATTATCTCACAATAAATTGCCATTGACTCTAACGAACTTATTTTAAATATGGAAAGTACTTAAAGTGTATAAATAATTTTCATTGGTATCTTGCAGGACCTTTGAAAGAAAAAGGTAAAATAGCTCCATCCATATTCCACATCTTTTTCTTAGACTTACATTTTTACATTTTTGAATTTGATTGCTTCCCTTTAAGATTCTGCATGAAAGTTCTTTGAAAAATAGCAACATTAATTTAAAATGAATAATTGAAAGTAATTATTGGGCTCCTCCTCCCACAGAACTAAACCATGACAAGAATCGGCGAGGTGCCAACATGGGACTTTACGCGTTCCCCCGCGTCGGTCGTAGCGATCCCAGCCTGGCCAACAGTCTACGCGATGCCAGTGATGCAGCGGTATTCGACGGCATTTACGGTGATGCCTCCCAGGAGGACTACAATGGTATGACATGAGCAATGAGGAGCAATGAGAGCTGGCTGGCTGGCATAACTTATAACTTCGGTTACTTTGGGGACATGCAATTTCAGAGGCGGATTATCAAAAGCGGGCTGGTCTAGTGGCCTTTCCGCGCGTGGGACGCAGCGATGCCGAGCTGCGCAAGTGGGCCCATCTCCTCGCTCTGCAACAGGTGCTGGACAAGCGGACCGGCCCCAGCGCCTCCTCGGGCCTGTGGTTTGGACCTCGACTTGGCAAGCGAAGTGTGGACGCCAAGGCATTTTCCGATGCCGGCAAGGGACAGCAGGAATTCAACTAGACAATGTGCTCCAGGACATTGGCGAATCGAATAGGAACACCACGGAGAGCAAACACATTTGGCATGCTATCATAATTACTTCTATGTACGAGTATTAACAAGATCGGCTTCTAATTTAACATTGCAACGGGTATAGAGCAAATATGTCTTTGGGTTAGAAATACAAATAATAAATAAATAACGAGCTGATGAGAGCTTAAATAAAATTAATATTTCTATTGCACATCGGGCCTACTGCTCGCAATTCATTTAAGAAGCATTCAAAACTAAAACGACTAAAATAAACACATTCTAATCAAAGTACACACTCCCCCAGATTATTGGGAATGCAAGCAAGTTTGAGAAAAGTTTATTCTAAATTAGTTGCAAAATGTTCGTTACGGTTATTTTGTGATACATTAAATATACGAATGCTCTGTATGCCGTCAGAAGATGCTTCCTAATCGTACTGCTGCTTAAACTTTCGCAATTCAGTTTGTATGGCCTCGATTAGAGGCGCTGCAGAGGCTGAGGCTGAGGCAGTGGTTGCGGCTGCCTGCTTTGGTACCTCCGACGTGTCCTCTGCTCTGTGATAGTGACCTGCACTCAAAGGACGATTCAGCGTTGAATGGGAGCTATACATGCTGCCCCCGCCCCACGCACTATGGGTGGGAGAGGGTGGCTGCGTCGACGTCAACTTTGCGGTCTTCTCCGGCTGGGCCGTCGCTGGCCGATCGGCTGCCGCTCTGGTGCTGGCTGTTGGATAAAAGCTTGAAGAACCAAAGGGTCCGACTGGTTACAATACTTGGTTGGCATAGTTTTGGGTGCATACCTGGGCAATCCTGCGGAGGAGCCTCGATGCTCACGATTGGTGGCGCGTCTACTATTTGTGAAATTGTGTGTGGGCAAGGGCATGGGAATATCATCCTGGCTGGCATACATTTGCAAGGCGCCCTCGAGTAAGCCCTCGTAATGGTTGCGTATAGCCGAGGGATTGTGAAATGGACTTGTGTTATAGTCTGCATAGGCCAGAGCCTCTGGGGAAGATTGATTGGAGAATTTAAGGTTCAATTGAAATGCGTGGCTCGAGTTGAATGGTGAAGGCAGAGGGCAAAAGGCTCTTGCTAAGAGGTATCTACGTTGTTCATCAAGTTCTCTACAAGTAACTAAATAAATTAAAACAACAACTACGGTACGGTATCCTTAGTAACGTGACTGTGACTGTAACTGTGTCTTCACCCCAAATCGAACGTCACTTTCATCATCATCATTATCATCTACATTATCACCATCATCGTTTTTATCATTGTTATTATTACGAATATGACCGTTTTTGTCTCCTCCCGCCTCACCCTGACTTTCGGCGGCCGCTAAACGTTTCTTGTGTCGCTCCCAGACGACGGGACCAACCACACCTGGATCTGGATTATCGCTGTGCGCAGCCGCAGCCGCAGCCGAGCGCACATTGCGAACAGAATTCGGCGGCGCCTTGGGACTGGGAAAGCTGGCTATGGCGGCTATGGTGCTGTGGTCCTTACTGCCCACAGATTTCTGTGACTTTAGGGATCTCGTGGAGCTGTGCGGTGCCCCTGTCTTCGGGGCAACTGCATTCACATTGTCGTAGTACGTGACGAAAACGGGATCCAGGACACGGTTCAGGGGTTCCGGCAAAGTGCTCTTCGGGAAGGCCCGCACGGAAGCCATTGAGAGAAATGATCCTACGCTGGCGGTGTCGGATGATTTGTCAGAGGGCTGCAAGGTGCGAATAATCTCGTTGTTTATGGCTTCTGGGGAAGCAGCGAACTTCTTTTCCCCTGCCGATTGCTGCTTCAGCAGCTTATTGCGGTGGTAGTTGTTGTGCAGATTGTATGCCTCGTTCCGCTGAAAGTTTTCATAGCTACGCCGGAGAGCATCCGGGGAGCCGTGGCTGCCCTCCTCGGCCGAGGAGTGTCCGGCCAGAGAGCCCTGAACAGGACTGGTCTCAAGGGAGCCGACGCGGTTCTCATTTAAATATCGACGCCTCGACTTGTGCCTGGACTTGTCGCCTTTCTTCTCGGAGACTACCGAAGTGTAGACGGTATCCTCGTGCCCTTCGGCGCGGTCATACTGGTGCCGCCTCTTGTGGCCGTCGAAAAGTCGAGCCGCCTTCTCATCCAGTATTCGTTGCACATCGGCACTCGGAGGGTTGATGGGGCAGTACACCGACGAGTCGGAGGTGTTGTCTGTCGAAGAGATGGAGTCCTGTCGGGAGCGTGATTGCGATTGCGATTGCGTCCGGTCCACTGGTGGTGCTGGGAAGCTAATGCGTGGCTCTCTCTCGTAGGAAAAGTTCTGCACCCCGACATCTCGGTCACCGTCGATTGCCTCAGTGGTCGAAGGCCGCATAGATTGGCCTTCCGAAAGCAACTCATTGCGAGAAAAGTTTCTGCAAAAGGCGATTGAATATAAAGTCCTGCGGGATTGGGGAATCGGCAAACCCTACCTGTTAACTGCACTAAGTTCCCTTTGTCGGGCACGTGTACGGCCCAGCAGCAGAACAGCCAACAGCAGAAGCATCAGCAGGAGGATGGCCAGGGAACTGATCACCACCAAGGCCACATTATTCTTGACCGAATTGAAGAAGCCCGCCTGGCCACTGCGCGGAACAGGCGCCAATGCTGTAGCCGTGGGCTCCCTGATGTAGGCTACACACACACACACACACACACACACACACACACACAGCATAGAATAAGCAATTAAAATGAATACAAGTTTGGATGCAGCTTACGTTCTGATTTCATGTATATAGCCTGCCCGAAAGTGCTGACCGCCTCGGCCTCGCTAACCAGTTCCATGTCTTTGGCGGCTGTCGTAGCCAGCACCGGCCGTCCATTCACCAGAACCGTATAAATAAGCTCCGTCTGATTGGCTATAGGACGATCGCTGCTGCAAAACAACACACATTATATATATATACTCGTATATACATACAAAATATTAAGTTTCAGCAGTAATTACAACTTGAGATTGACAAAGTTTATGTTTTCCAAGGCATCCCCATTGGTATTGGTATTGGTATTGGTGCTCCAGTTCTGCACATCCGCCTCGCTAATTTGTGTGAGGTTGTGTATGACAACCCTCACACGCCCGTCCCTATAGAGCGGTACAGATGGTTGTGGGCTTTGCTGCTGTTGTTGTTGTTGTTCCATCTTCATTTCCTGCAACTTCTCCGACTTTCCGTTCTGCTGTATAAGCTCCCAGGGTATCAGTGTAACGAAGGCGCTGTAGTCTATGGACTCGGTACTGGTTATTGGCGTGGCCGAAGCTGTGCTGGCCCGCTCGCCCGTTTCCTCGTCCGAATCACTTGACCATTCACTCCTTTCGCCCAGCGCCCTTACTGTTTTAATGTAGGGCTCATCATCAGCTCCCATGTCCAATATTTCCACATCATCGGCGGGCGAATACGTCGTGGGTTGGGGTTTTGTTGTCGATGTTGCCAGGGGAGATGATTTGCGACGCTCTCGGGGAGCTTGTACTATAACGCCTTCGATTTGCTGAGCCCCATTTATTCCCAGATGTCGTGTTTGTTGCCTTAAATTTTAAAAATAATTAGTTCTGCAATTTGTTGTTCCAAAACTTTTCCGTTTTTGATAGTTTTTACCTGGTAAAAGCCAGACGATATAGACGCGCCAGCTTCTCCTCAAGAATGGGGTTATCCTTGGACGTATAGAAGCCCGACATGACCGTCAGTAACCAATAGCGACGATCTGTCGCCGAGTAGTTTAGTGGGGGCATTCCAGGAGCGCCCATCTCCCAAGTACCGCCCCCATCATCAGGCCTGCAATCCAGGCAAATGGGAATATCGATTTCCTAAAGTGACAGATTCCCCAAAAAGTCCATATAGAATTGAGTTGAAGTGGATCAGCTATAAGACTCACATTGTTACCATCCACATAAACGGTGGCCACCACAGTTTCTGTCTTAACGATCACATCCTTGCCCCTACTAATACCCGTGTGGACCTTCTTGAGATAGTCGGGGGGCCATCCCCCGAGCCGGTCCAAAAGAAGTCTTCCAAATGGATCTCGTCTTTGGTATCCAGATAATCATCGTCTGAGTCATCTAAAATGAAATTAGAATGCAGGGGCAGACAATTTTAAATGGAGATTTGGTGACATTATTGATAAATCATTGGAGTGCTCGTATCTGCGTATTCTATTCGTTTTTCTCTGTTTTGTTATTCTGTTGGTACGCGTATATTCCCCTGTTCGAGTTTGTTTGATCAATTTATCCAACGGCAGCATGAAATGGTTCAATAAAAGCTGTTGCTACTGACAAATTATGCTTAAGGTTCTTCAACTACTTTCATATATGTACCCTAGACTTGGGAGAGGAGAGCGGGCTCCCTCTCTCTCTATCCTCTCTCTCTCTCTGTCACTTGTGCTCTCTATCCCCGTAGACAACCATAAATATATCGATTAGCGGAGGCAAATCCGCTTCCATAAACAAAAATCCTCTCGCTCTGCAGCAATAACTTAACAATGTTCTTGCGTGTTGGCTGTGCAATTAACTTTAATGTACATACCGTACACCTGTGCTGATTTCGCAGGTCAAAGCACCTAGGCCAATCCTGACCTGACGATGCTTTCCCTGCAATTAGTTTGTATTGCTTGTCCTATATTTTGCTTTATGCCCCATAGGCTTTAGAGTTATGATGAATTTGGGAAATCATTTTTACATAATTCACAGGGCACTGACGCATAACGCCAAAGGTCAAACTGATTGCTCCCCGTCAACACCACTAGCAACTAACAGTTCTACTCTGGGGCCCACAAATACAATCTGAATAATACGTAGTACGTACGAGTAGTAATAGAATACAACGAATTTCCCTGGATGCTCAACTTACCGTGACTCAATTGTATAAGCGGCTGCTGTCCAAGCTGCTCCGACGTTTGCGTTCCACCGCTGCAGCTGTGGCTGTGTAGAATGGCCAACAACGAAATAAGAAGCATCGTAATCGTACGTTTAACTTTCATTTTCACAAGAACTATAGTCCAACTATGCGGTCATTCGGAGACAGTTTTCACTTCCGTTGGCATTTGCCCATTTATTCCTTTTGGAATCACAATTGCCAAAGAAATCTTTCCACTCTGTGACGCTGGTTTGCAGTCGCGTTACTTGCACCGCCGAACGTTACCCGGGAACTAAACGCTCCATTGTAATCCACACATACCCGGCCATGGTGGTTGTTCCTATATTCTCTCTCCCTCTCTCTCTCTCTGTTTGGGTCGCTTGGTCAGTTACCTGGGCAACGGCAGCGGAAACGGCAACAGGCAACTCATCGGGAAAGCTAGTCCGGCACCAGCTCGCATTTAGTAAACAATGAAGAGCTATACTTTTCGGAAAGTGTGCTAGATCGGAATTTTCTTCTTCTATTGTCAGCAACCACAATAGAGTCCATGCAAATGTATCTTTCATTCGCACTTACAAAACTTACACTTACTATGAGGCTCTGTTCTCTAAACACAAACTCCGTATTCTGTGAAACCAATTCAAGCAACAAATTAGCTACATAAATCATAAGAAGGTTGTAGCATAGTTACAAAAAATGAATTGGACATTTTTGCTTAAGCTGGTCAATAGGCACCAATCGGGGCAAGGTTTCGTGAATCCCCCAAAACGAAAAAGTATAATTTATCATTTAACAAATAGGCAAAAGAAATGTGCTCTGTTATGGCTATAATTAAAGCATTTTGACAGCTTTTGAGTAGTCGTAAGATTAAGGCAAATCGTCAACTTCTTAATTCATTTCATTTCCGCATCTTGCATAGTAGTAGTACATTACTAAAATGTTATCACTAATACGAGTATACGTATTAGCTGAAAGTGAATCCGTTTTTGGAGTATTGCAACAGAGGTTCGTTGAACTGGTCCTTGAACTTATACTTTCCTCACAGCTCGATACAAGTAAAGCCTTTGATTTACAAGCCAGTTTCAAAATCATGTAAGATGCAGCAGCAGTTGGATGGAAACACTAAGCTGTCCATCAAATCAAAAATATTTACAATGCCCACAGAGTGGGGAACGAGTTTTGGTGTGGGCCATAAGAACACGCTAATTTGTCTTCACATCAACATTAAGACTTTTTCGAAAGGTCAAAATTATTACGCAACAGAAAACTCGTCTATCCAGAGGAGCTTAATGATAATGAAACATCTAAACTTGATCTAGCCAAGAAACAGATTGAAATTGTTGAGTAGATGCCATGCATATAACCAGTTTTCAGGGTGACCAATAGTTTTTTATTTTTATCTACGAATTATTGTAAAACACCAAGGTTTTTATCCAGCAGCGGACTTCAAAGCGCCAGGGCTCAGTTTACGGTTCTTCAGCTGATAGCGCGACTTGTAGCCATCCTTATCAGCCGTGTACATAGTAACAGTCTCGGTATCAGTCTTCTCATCATAGACGGAGTATGAGCCCATTACAACCAGTTCTTCCTTATCCGTACCAGGATTCATAATAACACCGATTTCCTCCCGCTTGCTGCCATTGGGTTCCTCCAAGCTGCAAATTTAATATACATACATATATGTACTTGTATTGTTTGGCATTCGAACTTGAAAGAAAGTTTGTCGTGACTTACTTGAAACGGTAGCCCTCTTTGGTGGGTACTTGATTATAGAACTCCGTCATAAGCGTCGGATAAATATAGTCCAAAAGACCTCCGGAGCAGCTAGCCGCCATAATGGCAACCAATGCAGTGAAAAGTATCTAGAATATCATATACATATGTATGTACTCGTGCATAGTTTATTCCAATCCGACGATAATCGCTATTAGCACAGCTGCATGACAAGATTTGTATTCACTGATTGCTACTCTACTGTTTAGTTTAACACACATTCTTCACACGCCCAGCCATTGTAATTACTGATCATTGGCATTCCCAAGGTCTGGGTCTCGGTCTCGTCTCGGTATCCACCCTTGCCCTGAGTAGTTACTTACCAGTTTCGCTGAAGCCATGTTGATGCGCGCTGAAGTTACCAAGCGATACTAAGCCATCTGACGCGAGCCCCTAACTATATAAAAGTAAAGATCTGCATATGTTTTGAAGCTCTGTCGCTAGCTATGCCGGGGCTATGTGTTGAGGATCGGATAAGTCATATTTGCTACTTGGTTGTTGTCACTAAAACCGGTCAGTCAAATGCCGAAAGAACGTCAGAGCCATCACATATCTTTGTGGATTTGTTTGTTTTATTTGGAGGATCTAAAACTTGTACAAAACGCTGGGAGTCAGCAGAGCCCGGTTGATAGTTATATCATTTCATTCTGAAAAATAGTCTACGTATATGTTTTTTGTTGTTGTTTCTTCTAACTTTTAGCATTTGGATCATAATGTGGCTACCCTTGAAATTAATTTGGGCAAATCCTCTGTTGATCTATGGCATGTGCACGAATTCAAAGTCATGCATGAGCATATGTACATACATATGTATGTATGTCTATAAATATTAATTTTATATTTGCATTCGGTTTTGTGGGATCGGGTTCTCAAAAAGTACCCCTAACTGGTTTTGTATGGCATTATGTGGGAGTATTAAAGGCGTTTTGGGTAATGATGATTTTTCCATTCCGTACACATTGTTTGAATCGCCGTGTGCCCAACATGAAGTGTGAGGTGTTCATGAATTATGACGGGCAGGCATTGCACGGTATGTGGGTGACTCAATACTTGAGTCCAACTATTTGAGCTATGTACATATTTTCCGGACATTGATTGTATTTATTGTATATGTGTTAAGAATCTCAATAAATTACTTTTATTATTTATTTTTATTTTATTTATACCTTTCTACAAAAAAATGAAAATTACAAGATACAATATATTTTAACAAGCTTTAATTTTTTATTTTATTTTTAAAGGAGAATATTCGTTGCAATATTTTGAAACAGAGTACAAATCAGCAACAGCGACATCTGCCGACGAAATCTGTCAAGACAAACTTCTCGCTAGGGCCGCGCCACTGTGAAGAATGTAAAACTACATTACATTTATTTTACATTGGCGCTGCCGTACGCCGGCAATTTGCAGCCAAAATGACCGCTTAACTCATTTAGCGCACAAAAAATACTGACATTTTTCGCTCTCAATTCGTGGTGGGTTTTTAAAATTTGCTCTCTTTTTGAGGTGAAGAGAGCGTTTTTTTTTTCCCCTCCTTTTCGTGGTGTGGCAGCATGTTGCTGAAATTTTTCCCATACAAAATCAAATTTATCTTACGGGAACGCGTATGGAATAAAGATTCATTGTTGCGTCATTATCGTTATTATTAATGATATGATTTAAAATATTATCAATGGATATTTTTTTGATACTCAGCGGACTTGTGAAGAAGAATATTCGGCACTATTTTCTTGTTTCATGGTCGCGCCAACATTTTTTTTAACTTTGCCCAGAAAACCACCCCAAATGTTTATAGAAAATTTTGAACGATATGATTGGCTCAAAGTTGAAAACGCGTAAGGTAAACCGTTACTTTTGTACCGGATTTTATACCGAAAAGTATTTTTTGGGTACGACAGTTTGCCTGCCGTTGTCTGGAAAATATAAATTTCGGACTTTGGCAGGCAAATTGCCGCCAGCCGTTACGGCCTAATATGTGTGAATTTTCTGTATTGTCCCGTATTAGTGCCAAACATGTTTTCGTGTTCTTACATATGCCAGTACCGTCCCTTAAAATTTGCCCGACCCCCATGCACCTATGCTGCATCCCTAGTCACCTGCCCTCAGCAGGTGGCAAGGGTAAGGGAGGGGTCGAATGACACACAGACCGCAATACCTCCAAAACAAAAAATTATTTGAATTGACTGCCTTTTGGGTTTCAAATTTAGATAAATTTTTCTGCTATGCAAAGTCCAAAAACCAGGGTACGAAAAGAAAGTATTTATTATTGATGATAGGCCGTCTGCCTAAGTGGAGGCAAGTCGGGTCTGGCGTGGATTTATATGGCTAAATGAAATTGGCGGACTCCCATACCCTTTCGCCACTCCAGCAGCATACTTCGTCAATCCTTGCTGGACAAAAAATCAGCAGCAAGCCTTGTTATCCGTACCTCGGGATACAAATGGACAGACAAATCAACTTCCGAAAACAGGTCAATGCTGTAATCACAAGAACAAGAAGCAGGATTATAAAGTTGAACTGGCTAATAGCACTAACCATACAGTTATAGATGTGCCAGTTCATACAACGAAGGGGCGCAGCTGGGGGGCCCCGGGGGGGGGGGGGGGGCGGGGGGGGGGGGGGGGGGGGGGGGGGGGGGGGGGGGGGGGGGGGGGGCGGGGGCTCGGCGGGGCGGCCGAGGCACTCAACGTTCCTCTGGTTGGCGGGCGCACCGGGTAACGGATGCGATGGGGGGCGGGGGGGGGGGGGGGGGCATGGGATGCACGCAAAAGTAGAAACATGCGAAGTATGCAAGGAACAGGAACAGGAATACCTGAAGGATCACATGGTAAAGAGTCATTCATCTGCTGATGACCGCCGGGAATATTTTTGCAAATTGTGCAATAAGCAAGGCAGAAATTTCGCTTATCACAGCTTATCAAAGGAGCACGTAAAGAGGGTCAGGATGACCGAGGAGGAATGAATGTAATCAGACATTGAATATTAAATAAAATAAAAATTAAATAAAATAAACTTTACTTTGTTCCTTCCACATTGGCTTAAGGCGCCTTCTCATCCGATTCACCGCTGGAGACACGCGTAAGTCAATAAATAAGGCAAATAGTCAGATGAGAAGGTGTTTGTAATGTGCTATAGGGGAAATGTGTGGGAGAGCCAGTAGCCAGAATGTTGCAGCTACTTTTCTGTACTGACCTTAACAGAAGGCCGCCTCTCTTACATGCACGAATTTTTTTGCATTTCAGCCACCAGCTGCAATGAATCTTAGCCCCAGTTGACCAAATAGTAGACTAAACTCTTCTTCTGACCAGTTCTGCTGTGGTGGGCAGTAAATGGATGCCAGCGCTTAAAACGTTTTATGAACAATATTTTAAACGACGCCTAAATATCCAAGTAGAATTCATGCTTGCATTTCAAAACAAAGTGCAAAGTGGGAGATTTTTTGGTAATTTCCTGGGTCCGGTGCGCCGCACCGTCTTGTAGCTACAAAGCCTACGCCACTACAGACACAAGCAAATGTTAAACGGTCGGTGGACCAAGCGGGAATGAACAATTTATGAAATGCTGCTTCCCCTTTTATACTTTCTTGAATCTAGACGCCAGTGATGCTCGGAAGTGATGCCGAAATTTCAGAGAATTTAAAGCTAGAATTAAAAAAAAAATCTTTTGGCTTCGTAAATGCCTTGGCCCGCGTCAAGTCGAGTGACAGAATACACCAACAAAATATGAAGTCTGGACTAGGACTAGGACTAGGAGTTTCCTTGGGCCGCCCCTAGGGCTAACAGAACATACAGAACAGAACATAAAATTTTTAAATTTTTATTTCAAATGAAAAAAAAGGGTGCTGGAGTGAAAAAATGGAGGGACCCAGATTGATGGTGGCCTGGTTGAGGGTTGATGCGTCCCTGAATAGGTCGAGTTTGGTTTTAAAGTTGTTATTTGTTTGTATTGAGTGTATTTACAGTGTGTACTCAGCCGAAAAGAGGTGGCAAAATTAAAAAGTATTTTATGAACGCTTTGAATATAAAAATGAAATGTACAAAAATGTATTGAACCATTTTTCACTTTATAATTTATCAAGCTGAGCCCACTGTGCGCATCTGCTAAGCGGCTCGAGCTCGCTCGACACTTTTCTTACGAACAGACGAAGGTGTGGGACAGCGGGCTCGCGGTCAGAGACGAATCATAGCCGAAAAGAGAATTGAAATCACGCGCGCTCCCTCTGTCCATGCGGCGTACCGGTGGGCCACGCCATAGAACAGCTTTTTGGTCGCTCATGCAGCATCTTGGTATTGTATAGTCTTTGCTAAAACTTATGCAAAGACAAAACTAATTTTTCGGTTTTAGTATCTTTATTATTTAAGCTTTAATAAAAGAACAAGACCACTTTAACGAATACCTTTTGATCTTCCTGTTCCATTTCTGCGAAAAATATACATATATGTATATACATAATGCCCATAAAATACACGTGCTCTGTGCTGGCCGTAGTGACAAAATCAAGAAATGAAATTACACACAAAGATTAAAAAATGCTAAATTGCTTGAAGATACAGCTTGAAATATGCTTAAATAGCAGCACTGATGCTCGGAGTGGCTGCGACCATTGCGACAGATCCAACGGGACCTTTTCAGTTTTTGCTTTGGGCTGCTTCTATTTGCGCGCGGCACAATGGGATGGATTGCACTTTTGAAAGACAAAATACTCTCGGCAATTTTGGTGAAATAAAAAATAGATATACATAAGTAGGAGTCAATGCACGGGAGAAAAAATATTAGTAAATTCGTTGGCATATTTTAGAATATAAATATAGGGAATAAGTCAGTCATCTGACAATGGTAATTAATTTAGCTTAAGTTTTCATAGCTCGCAAAGATAATCTAATCTGCAGCAAGTCAATGCAGGGACCATTTGTTAAAATTTGATCCATTTGTGAGCAGAGATTTACTGCCTGAATCAAATCTAGCCAGGAGTCGATAAGATATTCAATAGGGTGTAGAGTGGTCAATCATACTCCCAAAATAGTCACACCATAAAATCAACTAAAGACGATTTACTAGCACTCAAGAGTGAATCTATTTCGTAATAAAATTAAACTAGAAGGGATACATACATACATACATATATGTATGTAATGCAGGTTTTCATATACATATGTAGCCCCAGACATCAATTAACCTTTCAATGGGTTGAGGCATTTACTCTTCATTTTCTGGCTTTATTTAAGTACTACTTATCATAATACTCATCGTTGGCTATTGGCTTACAATATAATACTATGCACAGCAGTAATATCGTGTGGGTGGGACTCGGATTTGGATTTCGCTCAACAAAATTCACAAAACATTCGGCAAAGGCCAATGTGCGAACCGAACAAATGTGAAATAAATATGCGTATACCTAAACTAGGCGACAATGGAGGATTGCCCCAACTTAAATGCTAATTAAGGTGCTAGCCATGTGAAATCTTACTGTCGAGGCGACGTTGGCCACTTGCGTGGGCGAACAGTCGATGGCCTCGGCGGGGCTGGCAAAACTAACCTAAGACTAAGACTAAGACAGATACTAAGCAAAGACTAAGTGTGACGAGGTTGCAGCGTTCAGCAGATCACATCTCTGACAGCTCAGACGGAGCCCTTCTCCGCCAGCTTGGAGTGTAGCGTGGTGAGGTCGTAGATCACGACCAGATCCTTGTTGAGGCCCTCGAAGACTTGCGCCACGCGTGGCTGGAGGTTGTAGAAGAAGAGCGGCTGCTGGCGCTGGGCAAAGTCCATTACCATTGTAGAGATTACCTTGGCGGCGGTAAAGTCCGCCCCGTAGATGTGGGTGCAGTCGATCACCACAGGCAGCGTCGACTTGACCCCCTGCTTGTTGATCACCTTGCGGACGAACTCCATCGAAGGGAAGATCAGGCAGCGGTCGGGCGTGAGCATCAGATACTTCAGGCCATTTGATGTCTGCGAAGGGAAAGGCAATCTTAGAGATCTCTCGATGGGAGCCTGACTCTGGGAAGGACTCACCGCCAGTGTCTCGATCCGCAGCTTGGGGCGGGCCGCCTGGTAAAGGATGAACACCACATTGATGCCAATGCCTACAAGGATGCCCAGCTGCAGGGGCAGGACCAAACAGGCAAAGAAGGCACCCAGGCCAGGAATGAGATCGGTTTCTGAGTGGAGACAAAGAATAGCATGAATCAGTATTTTAGGGCGTGGGTGTCCAAAATCAACTCACTTTTGCTGTGCCACATGGGCTTTATCACTCGATACTGCACCATGAAGATAACGGCTGCTATGATGATGGAGGCCAGCGCCGCTTTGGGGATATAGTAGAAGCAGGGGGTGAGGTAGAGCAGGGCGATGATCACGATCACGCTGGTGTACAGGTTGGAGAGCTGGGTTCGCACTCCGCTCGCGTTGAGGATGGCGCCCCTGGCAAGACCTCCGTTGCTGCGCAGACCCTGAACAAAGGAGTTGGCCACATTGCAGATTCCGGACGCAATCAGCTCCTGCGTGGCATCAGTGGGCTTGCCATCGGCTGAGAGAGAGAGAGACACAGGAAGTCAGAAGGGTTCATGTGTGTTGGATTACTAGCAAACTCACCAAAGGCCTGGACCACTGCCATCGTCTCGAGCAGGGCAATCAGCGGGACAACAATGAGACCCGAGCCCAGAGTGCTGACCATCTCCCAGAAGCTCTGGCCATCCACCAGCACCTCTCCGGTGGTCTCGTTCAGCACAGGATCGATGTAGAACGGCGGCGGTTGGAAGGAGGGCATGCCCTTGGGCACGAATCCTACCGTGCGGACGAGATCCTCGCGGCCGCTCACCGAGAGCCAGTATCCAAGTCCTGCAGTGCCGCAGACGAGGAGGGCATTCCGGGCCGTGCCCACCGTCCAGAAGATGCCCGTAAGGAGCGACTGCGAGGAGGATTTGCCCTCCTTGGGGCCGACGCTGCAGCTGGCGAGCGCGCGCAGGCTGAGCAGCAGAGTGATGCAAATGACACCGAGGATAAAGTCCGGCCAGCTGATGTTGTGGATGTCGTTCACGATGCTGATCCACACCTGCAGGAAGGTGTTGCCGCTGGTGTGGATGCCGAGAAAGTCCTTCATCTGGGAGCTGAAGATAATCAGGGAGACGGCACTGGTGAAACCCGCCCCCACTGGCCCCGACACAAAGTCGATAAGGAAGCCCAGTCGGAAGGCGCCCATCAGGATCTCGATGATGCCCGTGAGAAACGTGAGCAGCGTGGCTATCTGCCAGCTCCCGCCAGCGATCTGGAAGGAGAGCAGCGCCGAAATGGCCGTCGGGCCGATGGGCACGTCCTTGCTCGATCCGATGAAGATGTAGATGAAGCACCCCAGGAAGCAGGCGTACAGGCCGTACTGCAGGTCCAGCCCCGCTATACCAGCGTATGCCAAAGCCTGCGGAATCACAGTCAGCGCCACCGAAATACCCGCCACAATGTCCCCAAAGATGTAGTCCTTCTTGTACTGCGGCAGCCACGTCAGGATGGGGAAGCGCTTGTACAGCGTCTTCTTGCGAAAGATGTTGTGCCACATGCTGCGGCAGCAGCCTTTGGAGGCCTCCAGGCAGCTCTGCGACTCCCCGGACTGCTCCTCCTGGACGATGCAGTCGCGCGATGTGTGATAGAGGGTGTTCGTAGGGATATCCAGGGACACCTCAGAATCCTCGTTGAAGGCCCCATTGGTGTGGCCGGGGTCCTCGCTGCGCGTCATTCTGGATATATAGTATTTTATTGTCTCTTCTTGTATGTTCGTTTTCTCTCTATCTTTGCAGCCTCTATCTCTATGGCTACATGGCACTCTCACGGGAACACTTCACTGTAACACTGATTGATCTCCGATCTCTGATGCTCTTTATCTGGAGGAGAACTCTACCGAACCGAAACGAACCGAAGCGAACTATTCGCGTGCCCGTCCACTGGGGTAATGAATTGCAAACTGTCGCAGAGATCGGCCAAGAGCCAGCGGTAACGGCAGAAACGGCAGCAGACTAACAGTCCGCCGACTGCTGGCAACTGATTATAAAGAGTCGCTGGCAGCGGCAGCGCTTTCGAGACTATCCGCCGGCTTTCGTTATCTCCGCTGTACCCCCGCTGTTTTCCCCATCCACCACCGATCCCACCCAGCATTACCCGCACGCCCCAAACCGGCTCGCGTCGAGCGGGGGGCTTTTCATCGTGTAATTGCCCGAAGATATGTAAATGACGCAGACCACAATAACCCCCATGTGTGGGCGGAAACAGGGGCTGCCCAGACACGGCTGTAAGTCGAGACTTTTAAGTGGGGGAAAAGGCGTCGATTTCGTAGAGGGAAACTCCGACCTTAATGGAGTCGAGTCACCATAATTTCATTCTGCCAGATATCTAACAGAAAGTATTTCTGTGAGCAAAAGCGACATAGCCCTAAAGGGTATTCGCTTGCCATGGCCATGGCCACAGGGTATCCCCTAGTCACCTTCCCAAGTTTTCCTTGTTGTTTACTTTGGAAAATTAACAAGTTTTGCTATGATTTTCCGCACGTGCTGGGAACATGGGAAACTTAGCAGCCGCTGCATTCCATGCTGATCGCTAGGATTTTCACGCTCAAAGATTTGGGTTTGGAGGCACAAGACCCAGCCAGGTTCCCAGTGCATTAACAAAAATGCAAATACGATTACAATTTATTATTTTATTTTATTTGTTACATTGTATTCGATTGCATCATTTATTCTAGGGGAAGGTGGGAGTCTGCCATAGAAGGGACTCACTCGGACTGGGATGATTATGGAATGAATCTGATGAAATTTTGTTTGTTCAAAGCTTCTCTATCGACCGAATTGTGTACCCTCTGGAATGGTGGCAATAGCGCCACAAAACGGAGGCTATCTTTACTGCCTTGCCTGTGGGCTATCGACTGCCGTCTATCGTTTGCCGTCGCTGCTTGTCGACACGGGAAATCAATCAGCCGTAGGAGCGAAGTGCATATAAATCAGTTTGAAGTGTGTGCGCTCTATAAATCAAACGGCGGAGTACGGTCCGGCTGAGATGAAACCCGGAATTTGGCAGACCGAGGGCTCCTCCACTCCGTACTAGTTCTGTCACTATTTCGGCACCCCCCAAACCGGTTGAGCTACCACACACAGACCCATACCCATACCCATACTCGTATTATTAGTCCGTCAGTCTGTCAATCAATCGGCATGTGTAAGGGAAATAAATCAGTTGCCAATTAAATGTGAGTCGCGGCTTGGTAAGATCTTGCCACGGCGATGATTGGAATACCCGGACTGCAGTTCTGGTCTTGTCTTCTTTTGGATCTTTCCCATTTGCGAACAAAGAGTTTTCTGCAGAATTCAAGACATTTAAAACAAAAACTGGATTCCCTTGCGGGGGTTTTTTTTTATCAACAAGGGGTTGCCAAGCACTGAGACACTGCTACCAACTGGTGACCCTCTTTGTTATTAATCGCTTATTAAATCATTTTCGATCCGCGTCAAAGTCTTCTCCAAAATGGGGATCACGCGCCCAGCGGCTGATCTATTGCGCAGAGGCTGGAGGCGAACGATCAAACTAATGGAAAACAGACACCTTTTTCTCAGAGTAAGCGTTAGCCGACGATTTCTTGCCCTTTTCTCTGGCTATCTTCTAAGGAATGTGAGAGGGGCGAGGAGAAACTTTCCTTCAGGGAAAGGCACTTGATATGGATCTCGGATCGATCTCTTCTCTGTGACACTTTCACGCCATTCGCCATGAATATTTATAAGTTCAGCCGCCCGTTCAGGTGACTGCTCGATGTGGATTATGTGGTCATAATTAGATATGTAACACTCTGAGGGGCAATTTACGTTACTCATACGCAGTGGAACCGTGTAAAGCCCCACGGGGAAAGAGGGACGTGGCACATTATAGAACAATTAAATGTGCATAAATAACCCCAGAGTCAGTCAATTATAATTTTTGAGCACATTTAATTCGCTTTTAATTTCGCTGGCGTGCGGATAATTGTTTTCACTGATTCTCTGTTTGTTTGTCTCTGCCGTTTCTTTCCACCCTTCTATCTGTTTTTGGCTAAATACCCATTAGCCGTGGCCAACCGATGCTGTGTGAGGCCGGTATTCGTCTTGTTTGGCCAGCATAAATCTTGAGAGCCCGTGGGCGTCATACTTTTGGAGAGATTTGTGATCTCTCTCAGCCCTTGAGCAGCCCTGATTTCGGCAGCTATAGCGGGGGATCATGGAATCCCAAGGTGTTTGCCTGTTTGATAAGTGCAATCACGTGGACTGGGGTGTGGGGTGTGGGGTGCGGGGAGTGTTGTGGCCTCCGGTGGAGTAGTCATATCGTTGATCTGTACGCATTGCTTGCTCCAGATAATTGTTTGATTATGGAAAGCACGTTCCGGGGAACACGAGTATAGCTGTATAACTGCAGTTGCATCTGAGTCCATAAATATACTCGTAGGTGGATCTCGAAAGACAGGCAAATAGGAGAAAAACTCCGAACAATGAATGACAATTGCCAGAGTCAAGCAAACAAACAAAAACTGTTAATTGTGCATTCGGTTAATTGTATAAGGCTTAAACATTACGCAAGCAGATCACCTCCCAGCTCCCCTCCTGGCACTCGCAATCGCACTCGCACTCGCACTCGTGTGCAGCGGCCTGCATTGAGGCGTGTAAAGTACCCGAGAGCCGAAGTAAGGCTTCACGTGACTCAAACCCGTCGATCGGGTTGGGTGGCGTTGGGTATCCACATTGGGTATTCATGTTCGAATATTATATCAATATTTATGTGCGAGACGACACTCGGCGACGTCTGAGGTCAGAGTCGAGGAAGTCCCCCTATAATGGATGTCAGGGACCCATGTTCAATGGCAGCCAGATTAGCCAAATGCCAGGGGCATGTCCTGCATAACATACCTGCTGATCATCCAAGAGCACCATCTCCCCACCAGCAAGACGAGAACAACAAGCCATCAATTGGCAGCGGCAGGCCTGGCCAAAGCGATTCTCTCTCACGTGATCGGGTCCGATCCAAAAGGCGATCCGATCAGCGCCGACCTGGGTCGGGGGAGACGCTTGCCGCTTTTATGGCGGCAATAACCGCAGGAATGGCAGCGAAACTGAATTAATTTTGGTCACATGACCGTGCCCAGAAGAAAACAAAACAAAATGTAGATATAAGCAGCAGCAAAAAAAGCACATCAGCATCTGTCGTTTGTACATTTTTACCCACATCATCATCATCAGAGGGGCACTCAAGAGCAGAAAGGAAAGTTTTTGGAATGGAATATCAGAGAAGTGAAGGCGGCATTGATTGTCTCCTATAAGTATAGAATTTCCCAATGGTCACCATTCTTTATAATTATTTATTTATTATTTTTATATATTTTTTTCTTTAAAGGTTCTAATCCCCCGACCATGAGCACCCCTGCTGCTGCTGCTGCTGCTGGTGTCGATGATTATTCAAATGTATAGCATATTCCGTCCGAGTCATCAAAATGATAATTTCGAGCGATCTGGTCGTGTGACTAGTTTGCTATGTTGTCGTCATCTCGAATTGATTTGTTATGCCAGACCAGACCAGACCAGACCACAGCAGACAAAATGCAAATCATCGAAGCATAGAGGCAAGAGAACAATCTCCCCTCCCCCTTCCCAGTCCACAAAAAAAATAGCAATTGCTATGGGAACTACTTACTGGCATATCCCGAGTAAGTAAGGCCCATTAAAAAGTGGCTAATTTCGCAGTCAGGTGCTAAAACCAATCCAACCAAGTGGCGTGCTAATGGGTGGCCAACAAGCTCCGCAAATTAACAAATCAATTTTCGCGAGTGATAAACAAAAAGTCAAACAAAATCACACGTCGGAAACAACAGAGAGCGGAGCGGAGCAGAGCGTCACGTTCCCGGTTATCAGTCATGCCAAATGCCAAACATTTCAGCGGGCGAGACAATTGAAATTGTAATTGGATCTGAAATTGGTGGAGACATGGAGACCCATTACAATTGATGGCCCGCTAATGGAAAGGGAGCTATGTACGACTGCGATGATCGGGTCCCAGTCCCAGACCGACCCAGACCCAGACCCGTGCCTCTGGTCGGAAGCCAGTTCAATGCACGCCATGTCATGCCATGGCATGCACAATGCACACGCGACTCGTTCTGGGGGGGCCATGGGACTATTCCAGGCGGGGTTACCCGAGCATATGCATTGTTTCAATTCTCCATTTAAGTCCAACCATTAGCATAGCTACGTCTTTTTCTCGAAACATTTGCTTAGATTAGTGGAAGATTTCCTGATGATTATCTGGCGCGTTTTTACAATGTTTTTGTTTGCTTTGCCCCGCAAGCCGCGAGCTGAGATAATGTAGCAGCAGATGTCACATTGATGGAGCCAAAACCGCCCGCGTTCCGTCCCGTCCCGTAGCCAGAGGAGATACAATCTTGGCGCTCTGCTGTTCCGTTTTCTGTTTGGATTTGGGCGTGCAAACAGCGCCAGGTTTATCGCTCTTGGCCTCTAGGTAGAGGCCAGAGCCCGGCAAATATGCGCCACTGGCTGTGATCAAATATAGATAAAAGGCAGAAGTACCGATCGTCATCGGAGCTGCATTCCTCTGGCATTTAGCAATGCAAATTTCTCGCATACCAGATGAATCTGCGGATGCCTGATTTATGTGCCCTCCGGAGGCAGGTGGTCTCTAATTTATTATCCCAGAGACTCTCTCTCCCTCTCTCTGCTGTTGCACAAGCGTTAGTTACGAGTTACAACGGCATGGAGATGCAGTCGGACATTCCTTAACCTCCGCTGTAATCTTATCGGATGGGACTGGCACTCGTTTCCGTGGACAGACGACATCTGTCAAATACTTGTGTTTAGTCGTATGCTAGACTGCAAATTATGATGATTTATGGAGCGGGAATGGCCAATCAATTAAGTCGATTCCAAGCCGATACGGAGCCATAATTTCAGGCAGCGCCAGCCATAAAGATACGCCTAGGCGGATAATCTGCACTGGCAGCCAGAGTCGGATTTGAGTACAATCAGAATTTATTTCGACAAAGTATTGTGGGGCCTAGCAGAGCTTAAGACTAGAAAAAACGAATGGTGATGGTATCCTGGAGAAATACACGAAACGAGTGGGAGTGCTTTTCAGTGTAGTGTAGTGTGTGGGGTGTAGGATAGTGCCTAAAAGTATGCCATGCTAATCAGTGGAAAAGTGTGTATTGGATTCTTGGTTTATTTGAGCAAACGAGCGAGCGCTGGGCGCCTTCCAATGGTTTCTAAAGCGAAAAAAAAAAAACAATATATAGCAGAAGAGAGACCCCTAAAGGATCCTTGTATGAAACATTTTTGTGACTTCAACAGAATGAACTGAAAGTGTAGGCGAGTGTATGGGTGAGTGTGTGACTGCGCGTGTGCTGTGGAGTGGCCTTAGTCCTCCAGGGTTACGTTGCGGAAGAGATACGACATGGACTCCTTGTTGTGGATGCGGCGTATGGCCTCGGCGATCAGTATGGAGATGTCGATCGTCTTGATTTTGTGGCACTGCAGTTTCTGTATCTCGTGTGGAATGGTATTGGTGACAACGATCTATGGATGCAGATAAAACGATGAGTTAGCTCCACGAAAATCCTTTGGAAAAGCGTGCCCGAACAGACCTCATCAATGCAGGACTCATCCAGCAGACGGGGCGCATCCGAGCTGAGCAGACCGTGCGTGGCCAGCACGTAGATCTTGCAGGCTCCGTTCTCCTTCAGCATCTCGGCGGCGGCCACAAACGATTGGACATCATCAATCAGATCATCCTAAGAGGGAAGAAAAAGACATTAGAAGGGAACAGAACAAGGCATTCTCTGGGTGTCGCAGTACTCACCACCATGATGGCTATGCGTCCCATTTACATCGCCCACAATCGTGAGCGGCGGCTTGACCTTAACCGGGTGCTCCGGCACGCCCACCGACACCGAGGTGGTCCGCTGACGGCTGCTGCTGCTGATGGGTGCGTGTTGTGGGGTAGAGTTTCTTTATGGATTAGAGTCGAGTCGGGGTTTCACGTTGGTGTCGATTGTCGAGTGTGGTGCATGGTGTGTGGTGTGTGGTGTGGTGCGTGTCGGTAACCAAAAAAGAAACAGAATCATGGGGGTGGGGGGTTCGGGTGTGGTGGAAGAAAGGGTGGAAAGGAATGGCAATCAATTAAAAATCATAAATTTATGCAAACATAATAATCAAATGAATAAAGAAATACGAACCTAGGCGCCGCTGGTAAGCACATTTCAACTGAATTTCCTAATAAATTGCTATACGCACTGCATGGACACAAATAAAGAGAAATTTCGTTTGGTTTTCTTCGTTTCGGATGCTCGGATTGTGGAATTTCGAATTCAGCTGCCAGCTGCCTCTCGTATCGAGCTTTTGGCAGTTGGTGGAAACAGAAGCGAAAGCGGTAGCAGAACAATCAGAATAAAGCGGCTACAAATAGTAGGAATCTACGAATAAAGTGCCTGCCTGCCTGTCTACGGCTGTGAAGTACGGAACAGAACAGAACAAAAGCCAACAACAGGATCAGGAAGAGTGCGTTTCAGAAAAGGGATTAATATTTCAAAATATTGATTGATCTTTGACTCTATAACAAAACGAGTTTCTTGTATAGATAATGGATTGGATAGTAGAATAAAGTCAAAGAGTCAACCGATATTTCTCTTACAATTCCGAAACACACACTTCACCTTTTATGATATTTTCCAGATAAATGCAAGTTGTAAAATGATTTGATAGCTTTGTGGCTGGGTAAATGGCGAACAGTCAAGTGCTAATTCAAATAAAACAATACAGATTCTAGTGCAGAGTGCTAATCAAATGATTCAAAGTGCTTCCAGCTTCGGTTTTAGAACAAAGTTTGGAGGGAAACAATAACAACAAAACACAACCAGAACTCATAGAAGAACTCAAGACAGACAATTGCTAGTGCTGGGGCAGCAGCGAGGCCTACAACGGATCCAACTGATCTGTAGGACTGTGGGACTTACCTGGTCGGTGGAGGCGAGTACCGGCCATCGACCTCATCGCTCTCTGCCTCCTTTTGCTCCCCATGGATGACGGCCAGGCCCAGGCGCAGTCGCTCCGCGTACGAGTTGGCCTTTTTGGCCACTCCTGGATTGCGGGCCACAATCACGGAATTCCGATATTCGGGTATCTGCCATGGGGCCAAGGGGATTCATTTAGTTCTGTGTTTATTGCAGACTAAGACTGCGACTCACGCTCTCCTGGATGTACTGCAGAAGGAAGGGCGAGGCCCGCAGATTGTCCACGGGTATGTCGAAGAAGCCCTGGATCTCCTTCTGGTGCAGATCCATTGTGATGATGTGCGTGAGGCCCGAGGTGCACATCATCTTGGCCAGCAGCTTGGAGACGATGCAGCCACGTTTGCGCATCTTGCACTGCTTCGAGTACGGCAAGTACGGGATCACGCCAACGATGGAGCGGGCCGATGAGGTCTTGCACGCATAAGCCATGATGAGCAGCTCCATAATGTTGTTGTTGGCATCCCTGAAGCAGAGGGAGAGAGTGTTGGATGGTATGGTACTATGGTATGGAGACTGTATCTACTTGGTGCCCGTCTGGATGATGTAGATGTCCTTGCCCCGGACCGAGTCACTGATCTCGACAATCGTCTCGCGGTTGGACTTGTGGAAGACGGAACAGCCGCCGTTCTTCAGGCCCATGCGCTCGGCAACCATGTTGGCGAGATCCGGATGCGAGTTGCCATTGATGATGACAATGTCCGAGGTGGAGGTGTTGTCCATATCGCTCCTGCAACGCTTCGGTGGGCGCACGCTGCCTAATCTGTAACGTAATCAGAGAATTTTATGAGTGTGGCACACCAAAAAGAGGGGCGGAGGGGAAAACACAACTCAAAACAGAAAGCGTGGGAATGAGTGGGGGTTGCGGGGGGATAGCTACCTGCGTTTGGACATGCTACTGTGGATTGGGGTTCATTCACTCCCGTATTCCGTAATGTATCCCGTAATCCCATAACCATTAATATAACGCATACGCCACGGCGTTGCCGCAGTCGTTACCGTGCCCACGTTACCCTGGCGCGCGCGTGGGGAACCCTGCCACGTATATCGATTAGCCCCAGTGAACCAATTCCTCGGCAGAACAGAGAACACAGAACCGAACCGCGGGAACGCAATGGCAATTAGTGCTGCTGCTGCTGCTACTTTGTTGCCCAGTTTGGTGGCGACTCCCTGGCTAAGGCAACCGAAACAGAAACCGCAGTCGCGCCAATGCGCATTCCCTCTTCCGGTATTCCGGTATCGATCAAACAAGGGGCACACATGTGAGTGGCGTGGCAACGTCAACGTGTGCCGCCGTCAGACCCACAGCGGAACCGCCACTCAGTCCGTCAGGCAGACCGTAGGCAGGAGTAGCGGTGTCTGCTACACGGGGACTAACACCATCTCAGATAGAAATCTACGCGCACGCGACTTGCCGCGACATTCGAGTGGCATCGAAGAAAAGCGAAAGCCAAAGGAAAGCCCAAGGAACGCCATCCTTAGGTGCAGGACAGTGCGGGGCGTTTCGCTGGCTAATTGAATTTCTATTTCTGAGTTCCCTCGCAGGTCAATCGCGGGCGAAGTGGAGTCAGCAGCAGCAGGAGCGGCAGCGGCAGCGGGCAGCAGCAGGAGCGGAGCAAGTGCATGGGTTGAGGAGGAGGAGGCACAGGAATGGGCGATTCAGGTGAGTGAAAATGACCATAAATGTGGCAGTGATAAGGAATCTACGATGCCAGCCATATTTGTGGCCATAACGAGATATGAATACCCTAAAAGAAGGCGGACAAATACTTCAGGTGGAATATTTTGTGGGGTTTAAAGGAAACCTTGAAGAGCCCCCGTTGATATTTCCAAGAAGTGAAGGAAACTTCAGGTGTCTACGGCATCGATAAAGAGTAGCCATTGAGCTTTCTTCCGAACATTATATATGGCATAATTATTCCGACTTTCGTTTCTCATATATGTGTAAGAAAGTGGAGGGAATGGAAATTAAATCGAGAGCATCCATGGGAAATTAAATAGTGCAGCAGCTTCTAGGAATCATATTAATCCAAGGATATTACCAAGGGAAGGGTTGAACAGTTCCATTTTTAGGGTATCGATGAACCTTCAAGGCTCCCGGCATTCCACATGCCTCCTTTGGGAGGTAGGGAGGGTGCGGCGACGCAACCACGAGGCGACTATTCAATTTTAGACACATTTGACGTCTCGTTTAGAATTTTCTTGAGGCGTTGCAGTTGCAGCAGCGAGTGCAGTGGAAACTTGCGGCACGCATATGCATATGTGCCACAAAACGGGGCAGCAGCAGGGGCTGTGGGGCACAAGTTTAAAGATAGCATCTGGGTGGGATTAGAAAGGAGGCGGCGGCCCATCAGCAGGCGGAGAAAGTTATGGCACGCTGCCTGCCAAAGGATTAGCCTGCTTCAGACCACTTCAGAGGCCCTTCGACTTAGAAGAAAGTAGAACGTTCCTCGAGGCAGACGCACACGCGGAGAAAACGGAACAAGCGACAAAATGCTGGGCATAGCCTGTGATCCGCTCCAGCACACGAGCATGTACGAGCGTGGCTCGGATGGTACTTGAAGAATCGCGAGAATATGAAACCGCATTCCACTGGCACTGATCGATTCTCCTCCCAAATTTGCATTTGCAGACAGCGAGGACAGCGATGGAGAGGGCGGCCTGGGCAATGTGTCCCGCGTGATCATCCGTCCGCCGGGCCAGAGCGGCAAGGCGAAGCGCGGCCATCTGTGCTTCGATGCGGCCTTCGAGACGGGCAATCTGGGCAAGGCGGAGCTGGTGGGGGAGTTCGAGTACGATCTGTTCCTGCGGCCGGACACGTGCAACCCGCGCTTCCGCTTCTGGTTCAACTTCACGGTGGACAACGTCAAGCAGGACCAGCGGGTGCTCTTCAACATCGTAAATCTCAGCAAGAGCCGCAATCTGTTCGCCTCCGGCCTCACGCCGCTGGTGAAGAGCTCCAGCCGCCCCAAGTGGCAGCGCATGTCCAAGCGGCAGGTGTTCTTCTACCGCTCGGCCATGCACCAGGGCCACTACGTGCTCAGCTTTTCCTTCATCTTCGACAAGGAGGAGGACGTCTACCAGTTCGCCCTGGCCTGGCCCTACAGCTACTCCCGCCTCCAGTCCTATTTGAATGTGATCGACGCCAGGCAGGGCACTGACAAGCGTTTCACCCGTTGCGTGCTCATCAAGTCGCTGGTGAGTGGATGGAGAGAACTCCCCTATTTCCTGTCTGTTATCTGTCTGTTCTTTCCCGCAGCAAAACAGGAATGTGGATCTGCTGACCATCGATCAGGTGACGCAGAAGCAGCGCTCCACCAATCGCTTGGATCGGAGCTTCATTCGCGTCATTGTGATCGTCTGTCGGACGCATTCGAGCGAGGCCCCCGCCTCCCATGTCTGCCAGGGCCTCATCGAGTTCCTCGTGGGCAACCATCCGATAGCGGGCGTCCTGCGCGAGAACTTTGTGTTCAAGATCGTGCCGATGGCCAATCCGGATGGCGTGTTCCTGGGCAACAACCGGTGCAACCTGATGGGGCAGGACATGAACCGCAACTGGCATCTGGCGTCGGAGTTCACGCAGCCGGAGCTGCATGCCATCAGGGGGATGCTGAAGGAGCTGGATAATTCAGATGTGAGTGTTTGGGTCTTGCACTGGAAGTGAATCTCCAAAGGAGGTTACTCACCTGATCCCTTGCACCCTTTGCAGACATATCAGATTGATTTTGTGATCGATTTGCATGCCAACAGCAGCATGCACGGCTGCTTCGTGTACGGGAACACGTACGAGGATGTCTACCGCTACGAGCGGCACCTGGTCTTCCCGCGACTCTTCGCCAGCAACGCCCCCGACTATGTGGCCGAGCACACCATGTTCAATGCGGACGAGCGGAAGGCGGGCAGCCTCAGGAGATTCAGCTGCGAGCGCCTCAGCGACACGGTGAATGCCTACACCCTGGAGGTGTCCATGGCAGGGCATTTCCTACGCGACGGCAAGACGGTGGCCCTCTACAACGAGGATGGATGTGAGTACAGACCGGCCGGCAGATGCTCTCAAGATCCCCACTAGATCTTCACTCTTCGTAGATTACCGCGTGGGTAGGAATCTCGCCCGCACCCTGCTCCAGTACTACCGCTTCATCAACATCCTGCCCGTGCCCCTTGTGCCTGAGGTGCGGGGCAAGCGTAGGGGCCGCCTGCGCAACCAGCACTCCCGCTCCCGCTCCAAGACGCGCTACGAGGTCAAGCCCCGGCCCAAAACCCCGCGCTGCCACGCCCCCATATCGTACAACAACCTCAGCATCTGCTACGACTCGGGGGGAGGAGGCGGAGGATCCTCGGATGAAGGAGGCTTGTCCCCCGTCAGACCACTGGCACCGGGCAGCAGCAGCTTCAGCGGCTGCCGCAACTACCGGCGGGCGGCCACTGCCACCTGTCCTGCGGCACACGACCAGTATTCCTCCTTTTCCTTGGGTGCACTTAAAACAGGGAGTGATCATGGAGGAGCCGTTGGCCAGGGCAAGAGATCGGCCAGGGTGACCATCGAGGTGCCGCTGCCCGTGAACGTGCCCCCCAAGCCCTACCTCTCAATCATCGACCTCAACCAGCTGACGAGGGGCAGCCTGAAGCTCAAATCGAGTAGCTTCGATGCAGCCGATAGGCGATAAGCGAGTGAGAGTGGGAAAGAGTGAGTGTGAGTGTGAATAACCGTAATTGTTCTTTTTGTACGCTTTGCTTCGTTTTTTCAAAATAAACAGTTATTTCTCAGTAAATTGAGCAACAAGTCAGGCGGGGGCGTGCAGCAGCGGCGAATGAGTGGCAATTTGCTGGGCTTATCCGCCTTATCTCTGTGCTGTTGTGCACCATTTGGCCCCCCGCCAGGAGTGGACTCGCAGGGAGGGAGGGAGGTGAGGTGTATGGATTCGACACATTGCATTGCGAGAAAGCACTCATATCGTATCATGTCTAGTGCTAGTGCAAACGTATACAAAGCGCCGTTAGATGAGACTACGAACAAATAAACAAAGAGCCGCCACTAGACAGAGACACACACTGCACACTGCGCAAAATGAGTGGCGCTTATCAGGCCTTGAGTCGACCCCATCCACTCAACAACAGCACGTGAGTGCAGAGTGCGAGTGTAATATCAATGAGCTGGACGTTTGTCCCACTTTTATCTTATCTTATACACACATAAATATAGCAATATATAGCAATGCAGTCAGCGGCAGGCAACAGCTGTACCACCACCATTACCTGGAGATGGATCGGATCGGGGACGAGGCGACAATATTCTCACTCAGGCCACACACACAACTCGGAAAACACGCGCGAAAACCGCTGATAAGAGTGTGGCGAGCGTGCCAGCAGGCAGGCGGAATGGGTGTGAAGCAACCGAAAGACCGAACCGAGGGCTTCCGACCTGATTAACGCTTTCAATTAACATGAAATCAATAAAAAAGACAGACCGCACACTCTTCTTTCTCGGTTCCTCTTTTGTATAAATAAAAGCGAATTGGAATAGAAGGCAAAAAGGAGCGCAAAACAGAGTGTGGTGAGCGCGGCCAGCGTTGCCAGACTGGCGGAGTGAGATGCGAACAGCTGTTTGTGTGGCCATATATGAATGCAATTACTTAAATTATTCAAATAAATGTCTTTTAATGGCAAAATAACAAAACTAAAGCATACCAGGCTAAGGGGAAGGGTTGCAGAAGGTGACACGTTGGGAGCAGGAACTGGTTTTTTGGTTAGCACACAATTTCAAATTGGTTAAACAAACAAGCAACAGAATTGTATTTATAAACGAATATATTCTCACAACCTGGCTAACAGCATGTTGACGGGCACTGGGTTGATGGAATGTGGATTGGGGGAAAGGGAGAGAGGAGAACAAAAATGATTGAAACACAAAATGGGAGGGAGGAGGAGACACATACACACAAACACGCAGTGGGAGACACTAATTAAATTATATATGGAACACAGAAATATGTAAATGGATAGCCAAAAGCCGCTTTTACTTGTTCCGCTGCAGCAGCATGACGCAGTTCCTCTGAAAATTTCTGCACTTCTTCGATATCTATATCTTCTTTTTCTTCTTCTCTTGTTTTCGTGGTTTTATCTGAATTATTGATTGAAATTGTCGAGTTATTATTACAGTTATTCTGCCTCTGTCGCTGCGCGTGAGAACTGCAACTGAATTTGAACGATGCAGCCACAGAGAGAGAGAGCGGGAGAGAGACGTACACACAGACACACAATAAACTTAGCTGAAGCAACTAGAGAAATAATTACTCTTGTGGTAGGACGGACACGTTCGAACTTCGAAATTAAATTTTCTCCGAAATGCCAGCTGTTGAGTGTTGAGCGGCGGGCTGCCAGACTGTCGTAGTGCGCCAATGAGCACATTTTGTGAACACTCGGAAAAGCACTCGATTGGCAAATCGGTGAGCGGGCAAAACTTGAAAAGTGAAGCGTGCAAAATGGTGTGAAATTGAAAGATTATTGATGTACAGTGCTTTTAACTGGTTGGACATGTTGCTCGTGCTATTGTTTTATATCTGTGCGTGTTCTGCCGATCAGGAATATGACTATAGTTCGGCTGTGGATACCCTGGTGGAACTGATACCGTTAGAGCGCTACTATTACGGCAATTTGAGTGCGTTTGCTGACAAAATGGAGGCAAAATTGAACACAATACGGCGGTAAATACAATTTTTTGGAAAAAACTGTCAAATTCATTGATTAATATTCGTGGCAGGGCACTCTCCAAGATGCAACCTGTGCTGAAGGCGGCCGAGGACACGCAGGAGCTCTTTGTGGGCAATCCGCTGCGCGCGTACTCCCTTCTGAGACACGTACACCACGACTGGCCGAATTGGTTGGATTTTATGGAGGAATCTGTTGGCGCCGAGGAGATTAAGCACTTCCGCTCGCTGGAACTGCTGCTGCCCAACCAGACAGACATGGCCGATGCGGCTCTTGGCCTGGAACATATCCAGGACATATATGGGCAGACTGAGCGGGATTTGGCCTCTGGGCTGCTCCATGGACAGCAGCATAAGTGAGATACTGCTTGCGAGGAGGCATTCCCGATTGAATTTTCCCCTTTTGCAGCGTCCAACTGGCAGCCATGGATTGCTGGAGCCTGGGCAGACACTACTACCACCTAAGCCGCTATGTGGAGGCGAGTGTTTGGCTGGGCTTGGCCGCGGAGCGGTACAATGTCAGCGAGGAGGATTTATATGCCGTCCAGGGCTTCCATCGCGTAGAATTGTGGCAGCTGCAGGCGGCATCTCTGATGCGACAGAGTAGGATACCAGTTTCCTCTTATATTGCCCCATTTCAAGAGATTCCCCCTCTCAGATCGCAACGAGGACGCATTGGCTGTCATTATCGGAGCCCTGGAAAAGCTTCCTTGGGACATGCGTCTGCAGAGCCTGCGTTCGAGGCTGCAGAGCCGCTGGCTGGTGAGGCCTCGTCTGGAGTACGGTGAGGAACCTCTGCCACCAGCCAACTACATGCAGCGTGGATGTCGCGGGCAGTATCCATTGAAAACAAGTCTCCACTGCCGCTTCGGTTGGATACCATCCTACGCCCGCCTCAAGATGGAGGAGCTACAGCTGGATCCCTACATTGTGCTCTACCATGACGTGGTGTCCGCCAACGAGATCGCGTTTCTGAAGATCTACGCTAGGATGAATCTCACGCAGGATCCGCAAAAGATTTTGGCCAAACGCTGCGCCATTCCCGAATCCATTCCGCAGCTGGAGAGCCTCAACAGGCGGATGGAGCACATGACTGGATTAAGTCTAAACAGATCCGAGAGCTGGATAATCACAAACTACGGGATTGGGGGCTTCTTTGGGCTCCACAAGGACTACTTCGATGAGGTTATCCTTACGTTATTCTCTTAGAGATTTTTGGATTCTGATTTTGATTGCATTTTGTAGATCGAAGAGGAATTGAGGGGCGACAATCGCTTGTACACCATCCAGATATTTGTGAGTCGAGGAGCAGGTCTTCAACCAGGATAAAGTGATCCCTTATCCCTGCCTATTCCCTTCTTCCCTTCAGCTGAGCAACGTGTCCCAAGGCGGCCACACAGTGTTCCCCCAACTGGAGGTGTCCGTGAAGCCACAGGCGGGCTCGTCTTTGGTTTTCTACAATCTGCTGGATTCTTTGGAGGGGGATCCGCGTACCAGTCACTTTGCCTGTCCCGTCCTGGATGGCGACAAGTGGATAGCCACCAAGTGGCTCTCTGCCAAGGAGCAGATATTCCAGAAGAGCAGGAAATGAAAGTTTATTCTCTGTATTTTGGACGCATAAACGATGCTTCATCAGAGCCAAAGAAAATTCAATTCGTCGAAGATAATTCAATTCGTCAGGGAACAATTCGACACGGAGAATGCATAAATCTGAAGGCCAGCTGTGGCATTTCTTGAGTATCATTTCCTTATTATGGCTGCACTACTGTACACGTTGTTGCTCTTCTTCCTGTCTGGCTCCTTCCTCGAGGCGGCCCTCGATGAGCAGCGCTTCCAGGGAATGCTAAAGCTAGAGCGGGAACTGCTGCAGAATTTGCGAGACTATGCCCTGGCGCTAAAGGAGAAGATCAGCGTCATTAATGGGTGAGTCTTCCTACACCTTCTATCCCGCTGCATCGACTCCCCTTCCTTCTTCCTAGCGCTCTGAGGGAGTACAACGAAGAGATCGACGAGGCCAACGAGGATCCGGAGCTGTATCTGTCGAATCCGCTGAACGCCTTTCGACTGATACGCCACATGCACCAGGATTGGGTCAGCTGGCAGGTGTACATGGAGCAGCAGGTTGGCCCCGATCAGGTGGCGAAACTGGAGCGCATCTTGCCGCAGCTGCCACAGCGGCAGGACTTCCAGAGAGCGGCCCAGACGATGCAGAGCCTCGTCGAGTTCTACGCGTATGAACCTTCCTCTCTGGTGGCTCAAGAAGAGTTCTACAGGTGGGGAAAAGACTGCTTGGACTGGAGACACTGAACGTTATCTCATGGTTTCCTTTAGCGACTTGTATCTGTCCCCCTTCGACTGCTACCACATGGGTCTGGAGTTGTACCAGGAGGAGAACTACCACGAGGCCATCAAGTGGCTCACTGTGGCCGCAGAGAACTACACATTGTCGCCGTACAGCGAACTTTACAACGTGCTAGGGGCGTCACGCTCGGAGGTGTATCGAATGCAGGCCAGGACCTACCACAAACTCAGTAGGTGATGGTCAAGGATCCACAGATACTCGACTAAATTTTCATTCTCTTGCAGACCGGGAGGAGGTGTACATGGCCTACCAGAACGCCATAATCCTGGATGAATTCAACGTGCACCTGCTGCAAGAAAGCGGCGTCCTAGAGCTGCTTAGCCTGCGCGATCCCATGGAGCCTATTGTGGCGCCTGTGACTACACCCAGTCCCCTGCAGAGCCAGTGCCGGGAAAGCGTCGTCGCGCAATCTGGCGTCTGTGCGCACAATACGATGCTGTCAGCCTTCCTGACACTGGCCCGGCTCCGCTACGAGGAGGTGCTCCTCTCTCCCTACATTGTAATCTACCGGAATGCCTTCTACGAGACAGAGGTCGCCCACATCCGAGACGCCCTCAAGCGGTGTCCCTTGGAGGCCAAGTTCCCGATACTTGCCGGTGTAAGAGGCTGCTCTGTCCCGGATGAATACAGTCCGGTGATGAAGCGCCTTGGGGAGCGGGTGCTGGACATGACGGGCTCCTTCAAGCCGGCGGATAGCTTCCATGTGCTAGAGTACGCCCAGCCAGAGCCCTTCCGTCTGTTCCAGCTGTTCAAGGAATCCTCAAAAGTAATCGGATAATCCTTTAAGGTTTCCTTATTCGTTTACGTATGAATTTCTTGCAGTTTTCCAACCTGGACTTTAACGAAATCGAGTGTACTGCCATCTTCTTTGTAAGTTGTAAGGAAAATGCTGCCTTCCTCTCTGATTCGCATGCCTTTCCAGCTGAATGATGTGGAGGTAGGCGGTGCCATCACCATTCCACACTATCCAATGTCTGTGCAGCCGAGGGAAGGCGACGTCCTGATCACATTCCACGAGGGCGACTTTGAGCACACCGTCTGCCCCAATGTTGTGGGCAGTGGATTGGGTATAGCTTTGGCCGTCCTTTGCCAGCTGAGAACTCTCATTAGTAATCGATCATCTTCTCTTTTTGCAGTCATGGTAAAGTTTCTCTACGCGGATACAGAAGAGTAAGCAAAGCTTTCTACCATTACCATTCAACGCGGTCTGGCGCAGATAAAAACCAGATTAAAAAAGCTGACCTCACGGATAGGATTGCTTGCGCCGATCACCCACACTTCAAAAATGCAAAATGTATACCCAAAAAAATAATTGTTTAGAAATCTGGTATTTGGATTAATGGATTAAAAAGAAAAAATGTATGACCATTCATATGATTTTTGATTCGTGTTGCATACAATGCCTAAATACCCGGATCATATACGAAGTCAAAGCTTAAGAAATGTAAGTTAAATTTCAAATATTAATATTTTTTGAATTCTCTCTTAATAGAATTATTTTTACTGATGAAATTGTTACGGGTTTTAGTTTGAATACCATGAGTACAATACCAAGTCGTTAATAATTTTGCACACAAAAATTGGTCATTTGACCTACATATGTATGTACAAACAGTAAACAGTTAAACCATTGTTTTTTTTCATATTAGAAGAAAAAATTTGTTTAAAATAAAATTATATATTATTTATTTTACTTTTACTTAACATAAAGTTAAGGTTTTTTTGTCTCGTTATTTTGATTATATTTTTTCGTATATTCTACTATTATATTATTTAACATTTTTTTCTATTTTTCCATATGTATGTACATACAGTGATGGAAAATAATAGAACGGCATGCGCATTCAAATTTGAAACCAAATATTTCATTTTGGAGCAAATTTTTTGATAAAACAACTGTGCTTAGTGTCAGGATAATGGGGTTTACTTGGATCCTTTGGGGTCCTTTCGTAAAAATTATAAGCTAGGTACACTAATTTGTAGGAAGATCACGTTTTTGTCTTGGAAAAAATAATAGAAACGCATTCCAATTTTGTTCTTATATTGTAATAAAACGGTTAAAATCGAATTATATAGGTAATATATTATCGCCAAAAGACAAAAGAAGATATGAAATACCTATTCCTAAGGATACCGTTTTTGTTGTTGTTATTATTCGGTTCAGAATGGGTCGTGGAGTATATTGTAGGGATATTAAAAAAACATATCTAAATCTAAAAACTGAGGGCCACACAAGGTCAGATGGTCACACATATCTAAAATGGATTTAAAAAGAGGTTTACTTCGATTTACTACAAAAATAGCGAACCACACGCGTATGAAAGCCCGGAACATGGGTTCATTTCGACAGGCGCATTGTTCGAAAATCCAAAAAAAATCCCTTTCTCTCGTTGATAGATCTGAAAAATGACTTAAAGCACGGGTTAGTAGTCGTACTATAAGGAATAGGCTGATTGATGTCAATTTAAAGGTCATATAGCTCAAAAAATATAACACTACTTTCCAAAAAAGTTTAGAAACCGAGTAAATTTCGCGAAGGTGCATTTATGTCGTCCAAGTTACAAAAATGTGTTAAGGTCATATGAAACTAAGGTAAATGGGCTTATATTTGTTGGGCACTTCATATAAGGCATTTTAATACTACTTCTCACGACCCAGGTATTCTGTTAAAGCGGGTATGCATGGTGGTGGGCACATAATGTTGTGGGATGCTTTATCCATTCGGTTATTGGTCCATACTTTGGTATAATGTGTGCCTCCGACTATGTAATATACCGCCAGTATAATCTGAGTAGGAATACCATTAAAGTGGTAGTTCGATCAGGATAATGACCCGAATCACTCCTAAATGCTGACCAAAAAATGGTTCCTGGACAAAGAAGTTTCCCTAATGGATTGGCCTGATGAAATATCAGACTTTAATCGTATAGATTACCTTTAGGAGCTTAATGGGACTGGTGGCTATAAGACCAAAATAGGAACGATTTTTGTCAAAATGTTAGTCCGAATGGTTCTCCATGGATCCACCATTTATGACGAACTGGTGGAGTCCATAGGCTCTCAGATGGGTCGAAGTCACTGAAAATCGCGGTATTACATCCAAATATATAAGCTAAAAATTAACCGGTTATAGGTTAACTTTTTTGAGATAAAAAACAATTTTTCATAGCTTTAGTTCGGCCGTTTCTATTATTTTTTCCAGGCCCTAAAAATGAAAAAATTTATTTTTGCTACACTAATTTTTTTTAAATTATTATTTTGTTATGTTTTGATACATAACTGTATGACTATTAGTCAAAATTATTAAACTTAAAAAATAAAAATTTTGACTAGAAAATTTTGAAATGCGAAAAAAAATTGTCGTTTCTATTATTTTTTCCATCACTGTATGTACAACAAAACAAGCTAGTAAAGCTAGCCATTAAAATTGTCCAAACAAAGGCAAAAATATAATTTTTTTATAAAATCAACCCCATTTCATACTACAATAAGCAATGCTTGTTTTGTAATTCTAATAATTTTGTTTGTTCCCAGCATACCATAATCTCATTGAAAGCGTAGCAAATACAATGATATGGATTTACTTATCTTAAACCTATTGGTTTTCGCGAGTGCCGCCGTTCAGAGTGGGACCAAAACGAAATCCAGTCGACCCAAGGACTTTGTGACCTCAAAGGCGGATCGAATGGAGCTGCTGCTGCTGGACAGGGAGCTGATCTCAAACCTCGTGCAATATACTGAAGAGTTGCAGAACAAAGTCCACGTGCTGCAGCGGTGAGATAGTAGATGGAGAGACTGCCTGAAAACTATTCTAATCGCTTGGGTTGGGTTGGCTGCTCCCACAGATTTGCAATGACGATGCGCCTTCCCATCGAGGCAGCGAAGGGCAGGGAGGAGGAGTACCTATCGAATCCGCTCCACAGTTTTCGCCTCATCCGTCACATGCACGAGGACTGGCGGCAGTTAGAGAAGTTCATGCGGCAGCCTGTGGGGCAGGGTGAGTCCAAATCTGCCAAAGAATAATGGAAATCATCCGTAAGCTTTTCCCTGCAGATCAAATTAATTTCCTCAAGGAGAAGGCAAAGGAATTTCCTTCAAAAGAAGATGCTGAGGATGCCACGGAGGCCATCTACCGCATTGTGCGCACCTATGATGTGCAGCCAGCGCATCTCGTCGAGGGGCTAATCGATGGCGGGCAGTACAAGTAGGTCTCCAGCTGGCCTACTCTATTTCGTCCGTTTATTCCATGTTCCTTCTACAGCGGTAGCATTTCAGCCATCGACTGCTTCTCCCTTGGAACGCTGCATTTTCAGTGGGGGGAGTACGACAAGGCCGCCCAATTCCTGTCCTTCTCCTTAGAAATGGTAGAACCAGAGTATTATTCGGTGTACGATGTGCTGGGATTTGCCTCAAGCGAGGTCTTCATGCTCCTGGCCCGTTGTCTCGTGGAGATGGGTAAGTGGTTTGGATCCGACATTCCTCTGCTAAAGACCTATCTCTCATTCATTTTAAGACCTGGAAGACGACGCTCGAACGACACTGATGGCCCACCCCGCCTGGCCCCCCTACGGATGGAAGAGCTGTCGCTGGATCCCTACATCGTGGTCTACCACAATGTCCTCTCCGACGCGGAAATATCCGAGGTGGTGAGAATTGCAGAGCCGCTTCTGGTGCGGAGTGGTGTGTACATAGGGGAAAAGGATAAGTCGGAAAAAAGCGCGGTGCGCACCGCCCTAGGAGCTTGGATACCTGACTATAATATGGATGTCTCGGTCTTGCCAGTGGTACAACGTGTCCTCAGGCGCATACACGACATGACAGGGTTGATCATGACCGATCATCAGTTCCTGCAGCTGATAAAATACGGATTCGGGGGCCACTACGATCTCCATTTCGACTACATTAATTCCACCCAGCCAATCACCCAGGCCATGGGCGACCGCATGGCCACTGTCCTCTTCTATGTGAGTCGGTTTCAAGTTCCATTTCAAGCTCTTACTTGCTGAAGGATTCTCTATTTATCTCCCGAAGCTTAACGATGCTAGACACGGCGGCGCCACTGTCTTTTCCTATCTACAGCTGAAGGTTCCATCGGAGCGTGGAAAGGTCCTATTCTGGTACAATATGCGCGGGGAGACACACGATCTGGATATGCAGACCGAACATGGTGCTTGCCCCGTTATCGATGGCACCAAAACGGGTGAGTATTTCCCTTTGTATTTATGCAGCTACAATCGAACCCCTCCGTTGCAGTCCTGTCCTGCTGGATACACGAGTGGGATCAAATGTTTATTCAGCCCACCTACGTCCCAGGGAATAGAACATTCTTCAATGAGCTTTTTAATGAATTTTAAGGTTAACAGCTTAAAAAATCAAATTTATATTCAATACCATACAGAAACTCCAACGATATGAATTTTGAGCTGAATTTTATATCACAAAATCAATGAGCGAATTTACAGTGGAAGTTCGGAAATTATGACCTCTTTGTTCCTAGGGTGATTCCAATTTCTGAACAGTTCTAGTTTCTGGTCATATTTTTGTAGTCAGAAAATGATAAAACAACTTTCAAAATAGTTGCTCGAAATTTATTTTAACACAACACAAATTTTTTTTACTCGGGGACTCCCATTTTTATTTTTAGTTCAACCAAAAGCAAACTGTGCAGGTTATACAAAAATGCAATGCCAATGCAATAAAATTCCCAGTTCTAATTTCTGGACTCTGTGGGGGCTCTTATTTCTGAACTTACACTGTAAACGGTTGGTTGTAGATTTAGATCGCAGCAGTAATTTGAACACGCACGCCAATTACGAAATATTTTATTTTAAATTAAACTGCATATTTGTGTTATATTTAAGTACAGGAAATTAGATTCATTTGAATTTTTAATTTCTTATTATTTCTATTATTTTGAACGATTTATAAAAAATTAAAAATGCGATTTTTTTTAATATTTTTTTTTTATAATTTGTTATATTTGATTTTAAGTTTTGTATCCATTATTTTGGTCGATTATCAAAAACTCCTGACCTCGAGGTCCAAATTTTAACCGACAAACCGCAGCCAATGTATAAATGTAAATCTTGACTAGAGCCTGCATATCTGGAAAGCAATTCAAGATGCACAATTTTGAGTTATTCGTAGGGTATTTAAGGTTTCGATTTCGACCGACGAATTGACAAATTGACTTCCCCTCATTTTTAGATCTTATCCCGTCATACAATAATTGCATTAAAAGCGTAGAAAATACCATCATATGAAATTATTTATCACATCCAAGACTACAATGCTACCACTCGCTTCTGTGCATGTGCTCCTCCTGATCCTCCTGGTTTTCGCGAGTGCTGCTTTTCAGAGTGGGACGAAAACGAAATCCAGTCGACCCAAGGACTTTGTGACCTCAAAGGCGGATCGAATGGAGCTGCTGCTGCTGGACAGGGAGCTGATGTCAAACCTCGTGCAATATACTGAAGAGTTGCAGAACAAAGTCCACGTGCTGCAGCGGTGAGATAGGAGATGGAGAGTCTGCCTGAAAACTATTCTAATCGCTTGGGTTGGGTTGGCTGCTCCCACAGATTTTCAATGGCGATGAGCATTCCCCTCGAGGCAGCGAAGGGCAGGGAGGAGGAGTACCTGTCGAATCCGCTTCACAGTTTTCGCCTCATTCGCCATATGCACGAGGACTGGCGGCAATTAGAGAAGTTCATGCGGCAGCCTGGGGGGCAGGGTGAGTCCAATTCTGCCAAAGAATAATGGAAATCATCCGTAAGCTTTTCCCTGCAGATCAGATTAATTTTCTCAAGGAGAAGACAATGGAACTTGCTTCAAGAGAAGATGCCGAGGATGCCACGGAGGCCATCTACCGCATTGTGCGCACCTATGATGTGCAGCCAGCGCATCTCGTCGAGGGGCTAATCGATGGCGTGCAGTACAAGTAGGTCTCCAGCTGGACAACTCTATTTCGTCCGTTCATTCCATGTTCCTTCTACAGCGGTAGCATTTCAGCCATCGACTGCTTCTCCCTTGGAACGCTGCATTTTCAGTGGGGGGAGTACGACAAGGCCGCCCAATTCCTGTCCTTCTCCTTAGAAATGGTAGAACCAGAGTATTATTCGGTGTACGATGTGCTGGGATTTGCCTCAAGCGAGGTCTTCATGCTCCTGGCCCGTTGTCTCGTGGAGATGGGTAAGTGGTTTGGATCCCACATTCCTCTGCTAAAGACCTATCTCTCATTCATTTTAAGACCTGGAAGACGACGCTCGAACGACACTGATGGCCCACCCCACTTTGGCGGATCATTCGGAGCGACTGCTCACCCTCTACACAAACACGCGGCACGTCCAAGTTTCGGAGGAACTGAAGCCCGACCTAACTGAGGGATTCAAAAAGATTTGTCGATCCTCCCATCAAAATAAACCCTCACGCCTTCACTGTCGCTACAATGCCACAACCACACCCTTCCTGCGCCTGGCCCCCCTACGCATGGAGGAGCTGTCGCTGCATCCCTACATCGTGGTCTACCACAATGTCGTCTCCGACGCGGAAATTGCAGAATTGGAGCGCGTCGCAGAGCCGCTTCTAGTCCGCGCTGAATTTGGCGACATGAACATGAACCTGAAATACAAGGTGCGCACCGCCCTAGGAGCTTGGATCCCGGACTATGTCTCGGGCTTGCCAGTGGTACAACGTGTCCTCAGGCGCATACACGACATGACAGGGTTGATCATGACCGATCATCAGTTCTTGCAACTGATAAAATACGGATTCGGGGGCCACTACGATCTCCATTTCGACTACTTTAATTCCACCCAGCCAATCACCCAGGCCATGGGCGACCGCATGGCCACTGTCCTCTTCTATGTGAGTCGGTTTCAAGTTCCGTTTCAAGCTCTTACTTGCTGAAGGATTCTCTATTTATCTCCCGAAGCTTAACGATGCTAGACACGGCGGCGCCACTGTCTTTTCCCACCTACAGCTGAAGGTTCCATCGGAGCGTGGAAAGGTCCTATGCTGGTACAATATGCGCGGGGAGACACACGATCTGGATATGCAGACCGAACATGGTGCTTGCCCCGTTATCGATGGCACCAAAACGGGTGAGTATTTCCCTTTGTATTTATGCAGCTACAATCGAACCCCTCCGTTGCAGTCCTGTCCTGCTGGATACACGAGTGGGATCAAATGTTTATTCAGCCCACCTACGTCCCAGGGAATAGAACATTCTTCAATGAGCTTTTTAATGAATTTGAAGGTTAAAAGCTTAAAAAATCCCATTTATATGTAATACCATACAGAAACTCCAACGATATGAATTTTGAGCTGAATTTTATATAAAACGAGAAGGAACGTGTGAGTCGCTTCTGGGGACGCGACTCTACTTATACCCGTACTCAGTCAGTATATACATTTTTGAGCTTATGATTTTTAAGAATTTTAGAAAAAAAAAAATTTTACATTTTACATTTTTTTGCTACATATGCTATGTACATCTACATATACAATGTATATTCTACATCTAACATGTAGATTGTACATGTTCCATTCATATTCTACATCTCCTCCGCTAGGGGTTTCTCGCGCACTGAACGCGGCAGAGTGTGCGAGCGAGAAGGAAAATGAGTTGCGTTGTAGTGGTCGGGAGGGGGAGGGGAAGCAACTGAAAATTAATTTCTTCATTCTAGCTATAATTATGATCCGATCTGATTCAGATTCAGCAATCTGGTAGATCTGGTAGGGCATTCTCTACGATACTGCGTTTTTAGTTTTATCGTATCTTTAAAACTGTGCCTGCCACAGATTTTCGTCCTTTGTGTGGGCGGAAGGGGGCGGGGCGAAATTTTGAAATACACTTGTGGCAGTGTGATATCACATGAGTCTGGAAACCAAATTTGGTTTCTCTAGCTCTTATAGTCTCTGAGATCCAGGCGCTCATCAAGACGGACGAACGGACAGACGGACATGGCTATATAGACTCGGCTATTGATGCTGATCAAGAATATATATACTTTATGGGGTCGGAAACGTTTCCTTCTCTGCGTTGCACTTATCCACTTTTACCACAAATCTAATATACCCCTTAACTCTTTTTTGAGTACGGGTATAAAAACCAATGAGCGAATTATGGATTATGTGAATATGGAAACCCATTCAAGATGCACATTTTCGAGTTATTAGTAGGGTATTTGAGTTACGATCTAGCTTTACTCATCAACCAATTTTAATCAGTTATCAACCGGCAAATTGACTTCCCTGTCTCACTCATTTTTAGATCTTATCCCGTCATACAATAATTACATTAAAAGCGTAGCAAATACCATGATATGGAACTATTTATCACATCCAAGACTACAATGCTACCACTCGCATCTGTGCATGTGCTCCTCCTGATCCTCCTGGTTTTCGCGAGTGCTGCTTTTCAGAGTCAGACGGAAACGATATCCAATCCATCCAAGGAGTTTGTGACCTCAAAGGCGGATCGAATGGAGCTGCTGCTGCTGGACAGGGAGCTGATCTCAAACCTCGTGCAATATACTGAAGAGTTGCAGAACAAAGTCCACGTGCTGCAGCGGTGAGATAGAAGATGGAGAGTCTGCCTGAAAACTATTCTAATCGCTTGGGTTGGGTTGGCTGCTCCCACAGATTTGCAATGGCAATGAGCATTCCCATCGAGGCAGCGAAGGGCAGGGAGGAGGAGTACCTATCGAATCCGCTGCACAGTTTTCGCCTCATCCGCCATATGCACGAGGACTGGCGGCAATTAGAGAAGTTCATGCGGCAGCCTGGGGGGCAGGGTGAGTCCAATTCTGCCAAAGAATAATGGAAATCATCCGTAAGCTTTTCCCTGCAGATCAGATTAATTTTCTCAAGGAGAAGACAATGGAACTTGCTTCAAGAGAAGATGCCGAGGATGCCACGGAGGCCATCTACCGCATTGTGCGCACCTATGATGTGCAGGCAGCGGATATCGTCCAGGGGCTAATCGATGGCGTGCAGTACAAGTAGGTCTCCAGCTGGACAACTCTATTTCGTCCGTTCATTCCATGTTCCTTCTACAGCGGTAGCATTTCAGCCATCGACTGCTTCTCCCTTGGAACGCTGCATTTTCAGTGGGGGGAGTACGACAAGGCCGCCCAATTCCTGTCCTTCTCCTTAGAAATGGTAGAACCAGAGTATTATTCGGTGTACGATGTGCTGGGATTTGCCTCAAGCGAGGTCTTCATGCTCCTGGCCCGTTGTCTCGTGGAGATGGGTAAGTGGTTTGGATCCGACATTCCTCTGCTAAAGATCTATCTCTCATTCATTTTAAGACCTGGAAGACGACGCTCGAACGACACTGATGGCCCACCCCAGTTTGGCGGATCATTCGGAGCGACTGCTCACCCTCTACACAAACACGCGACACGTCCAAGTTTCGGAGGAACTGAAGCCCGACCTAACTGAGCAATACAATCAGATCTGCCGCTCCTCCCATCAAAATAAACCCTCGCGCCTTCACTGTCGCTACAATGCCACAACCACACCCTTCCTGCGCCTGGCCCCCCTACGGATGGAAGAGCTGTCGCTGGATCCCTACATCGTGGTCTACCACAATGTCCTCTCCGACGCGGAAATATCCGAGGTGGTGAGAATTGCAGAGCCGCTTCTCGTGCGGAGTAGCGTGTACATAGTGGAAAAGGAGAAGTCGAAAAAAAGCACGGCGCGCACTTCCCTGGGAGCCTGGATCCCCGATCACGATGATAAAATGGATGTCTCGGGTTGGCCGTTGGTGGAGCGATTCCTTAGACGCATTCGCGATATGACCGGTATGAAAATCAACGAACAGCAGTACATGCAGCTGATAAAATACGGATTCGGGGGCCACTACGATCTCCATTTCGACTACTTTAATTCCACCCGAAAAATCACCCAGGCCATGGGCGACCGCATGGCCACTGTCCTCTTCTATGTGAGTCGGTTTCAAGTTCCATTTCAAGCTCTTACTTGCTGAAGGATTCTCTATTTATCTCCCGAAGCTTAACGATGCTAGACACGGCGGCTCCACTGTCTTTTCCCATCTACAGCTGAAGGTTCCATCAGAGCGTGGCAAGGTTCTCTTCTGGTTCAATATGCGGGGGGAGACGCACGATCTGGACACTCAAACCATTCACGGCTCGTGCCCCGTCATCGATGGCACCAAAACGGGTGAGTACTTAGCTGTTTATTTATCCACCTAAAATAAATCTCCTCTTTTGCAGTCCTGTCCTGCTGGATAAAGGAGTTGGATCAAATGTTTATCCGGCCCACCTATCGCCCTGGGAATAGGAATTTTATCTCTTAGATTCTTAGATTATGAAGGCATTTTGGTACTGAGGGTGATGCAGGGTGCAGCAGCAGGCTTATCAGTAAAAGAAAAAAAGAAAATTTGTTTATTTAGTTTTCATATCCTTTTGTTAGTTTTTGTGTAATTTAAATGACTAATAGTAGTAGAAAGGCTACAATTTTGTTTGGTGATTTTTCGAATCAGAAATTGGAAACACCGTTGCCACAATTGTAAGACATTCGAAGCAATTAAATGCATACACTTTTATTTATTTATTTTTTATTTTGTTTAAATAGTTGATGCTTTAGAAAAACTAATCAAAATACTTTTTTAAAAAATCAGCATTTTAATAATGAAGCTCTGGCATAAAAAGTGTTTTTATAGTATGCCGTTTGCCTGAATTTATTCAGAGCTTGCCTGAGCCCATTAGACAGAATATTCAGATTTATTTAATAACATATTTAGGAATCAATTGAGTCAGCAGCAGGTTACAAAAACAGTCAAATAAATAAAATTCTCTATTTAAACATTAAATTTAAATAATCAATCTTCGTTTGGGTCTGCTCTTTATCCAACTATAATGAAAATTAAGGTTCAGGCACACGCTGTACGCTGAGTGCACACAGTCGCCTTGTAAAGGAGATTAGAACGACATCTTGGAATAGTGTGGAACAAATAACCGAAGACGTCAAATTTAATAAAATGTATTTTAGAGAATTAACTGCTTATAAAAAAAAATGTCCACCACACATAACTGAGTAAAATTTTAAAGGCTAGTCTTAAAATTTGATATTCAAATTATTAAAATTAAGAACGAATTTTTTTTGTATTTGGTTTATAAAATTTGAATTTTAATTTAATTTTTCAATTCCGCTGCTGTTTGTGCTATTTAAATATGGAAATGCTCTCTTACTGTCGCTGGGTGATAGGTGGGCTGAATAAACATTTGATCCAACTCGTGTATCCAGCAGGACAGGACTGCAACAGAGGGTTCGATTGTAGTTGCTTGAATACAAAGGGAAATACTCACCCGTTTTGGTGCCATCGATGACGGGGCACGAACCGTGAATGGTTTGAGTGTCCCGATCGTGCGTCTCCCCCCGCATATTGTACCAGAATAGGACCTTTCCGCGCTCCGATGGAACCTTCAGCTGTAGGCGGCTAAAGACAGTGGAGCCGCCGTGCCTAGCATCATTAAGCTTCGGGAATTTCGGGAGATGGAGAATCCTTCAGTTATTAAGAGATTAAAACCAACTCACGTAGAAGAGGACAGTGGCCATACGGTCGCCCATGGCCTGGGTTATCGGCAAGGAGTCATTACTGAAGTCGAAATGGAGATCGTAGTGGCCCCCGAATCCGTATTTTATCAGCTGCAGGAACTGATGATCGTTCATTATCAACCCGGTCATGTCGTGTATGCGCCTGAGTACACGTTGTACCACTGGCAAGCCCGAGACATCCATATTATAGTCAGGTATCCAAGCTCCTAGGGCGGTGCGCACCTTGTATTTCAGGTTCATGTTCATGCCAAATTCAGCGCGGACTAGAAGTGGCTCTGCAACGCGCTCCACCTCGGCTACTTCCGCGTCGGAGAGGACATTGTGGTAGGCCACTATGTAGGGATCCAGCGACAGCTCCTCCATCTGTAGGGGGGCCAGGCGCAGGAAGGGTGTGGTTGTGGCATTGTAGCGACAGTGAAGGCGCGAGGGTTTATTTTGATGGGAGGAGCGGCAGATCTGATTGAATTCGTCGGGCAGAGCGGGCTGCTTATCCTCCGAAACTTGGACGTGTCTCGTGTTTGTGTAGAGGTTGAGCAGATGCTCCGAATTCTCCGCCAGAGTGGGGTGGGCCATCAGAATGCTTCGAGCCTCCTCTTCCAGGTCTGAAAATGAATAAAGAATAAATCTTCAGCCGAGGAATGTCGTTATAGATCTGATCCTTTACCCATCTCCAAGAAGCAGCGGGCTAACAGAATGAATACCTCACTTGACTGAAATTCCAGCACTTCGTACACCGAATAATAGTCTGGTTCTATTAGATTGAAGGTGTAGTATAGCCATTGGACTGCTTTTCCGTACTCCCCCCACTGAAAATGCAGCGTTCCAAGAGAGAAGCAGTCGATGGCTGAAATGCTACTGCTGTAGAAGGAACATGGAATGAACGGATGAAATAGAGTAGTCCAGCTGGAGACCTACTTGTACTGCACGCCATCGATTAGCCCCTCGACGAGATGCGCTGGCTGCACATCATAGGTGCGCACAATGCGGTAGATGGCCTCCGTGGCATCCTCAGCATCTTCTTTTGAAGGAAATTCCTTTGCCTTCTCCTTGAGGAAATTAATCTGATCTGCAGGGAAAAGCTTACGGATGATTTCCATTATTCTTTGGCAGATTTGGACTCACCCTGCCCCACAGGCTGCCGCATGAACTTCTCTAATTGCCGCCAGTCCTCGTGCATATGGCGGATGAGGCGAAAACTGTGCAGTGGATTCGATAGGTACTCCTCCTCCCTGCCCTTCGCTGCCTCGAGGGGAATGCTCATCGCCATTGCAAATCTGTGGGAGCAGCCAACCCAACCCAAGCGATTAGAATAGTTTTCAGGCAGACTCTCCATCTCCTATCTCACCGCTGCAGCACGTGGACTTTGCTCTGCAACTCTTCAGTATATTGCACGAGGTTTGAGATCAGCTCCCTGTCCAGCAGCAGCAGCTCCATTCGATCCGCCTTTGAGGTGACAAAGTCCTTGCCTGGATGGGATTTCTTTGTCGTCTCAGTTCTCGTCCCACTCTGAACAGAAACACTCGCGAGGATGAGGAAGAACAGGACTGGTAGCATGTCATTAAAAAGAGAATATACTCGTATCATCGTATCTTCTGGTGTTTTAGTTTGTGAGTTTTATATGTGAAGTGCGACTTGAACTTCGGACTTGAATGGAAATACTAAGGTGATTAAGTAGTGAACATCGAATTAAGTTGTGTGCTGTAAAACATAAACGTAAACATAAATTTCAGTCCATGTTTCCGCTTGCTCAAATTTGTAGCAACAAAAAACTATTATAATTTTACTGCGTCTTCTGAAATGGATTCGAGTTTTGGTGAAGAGTTGGACAGGTATGCGAGCCTTAAAGCTTAAAATAAAAAAAAAAAAAATATGTGCTGTAACGACTGTCACTACATAGGTAGTGAAAGAAGGTGATCAAATTAAGACTTATTATTTTGAATAATAAATTAAGAAGTACATATACATATGCTATGCAAATTAAGAATATAGTTTATAACCAAACACGGCAAACGGAATTTGTAATGATCATTTAAATAAAATTATCTCAAAAAAATAATTTAACTTACAAAATAATAATATTAGTAAATAAATGCATAAGCAAATTAAATAAAAGTCGCGCGGAACATTTGTGTCCATTACATTAGCTACCCCGACATCAATTGGCTGATGAAGCTGTGCATTCAGAGGTGGAATTAATATTAAACGAGAAGGAACGTGTGAGTCGCTTCTGGGGACGCGACTCTACTTATACCCGTACTCAGTCAGTATATACATTTTTGAGCTTATGATTTTTAAGAATTTAAAAATTAAAAAAAAATTTTACATTTTACATTTTTTTGCTACATCTGTTATCTACATCTACATCTACAATGTATATTCCACATCTAACAAGTAGATTGTACATGTACCATTTAGGTTCTACATCTCCTCCGCTAGGGGTTGCTCGCGCACTGAACGCGGCAGAGTGTGCGAGCGAGAAAGAGAATCAGTAGCGTCAGCAGCGCTGGAGAAGGAGAGGGAGCCAACAGAAAATTAATTTCTTCATTCTGGCTATAATTATGATCCGATCTAGTTCAGATTCGGCAATCTGGTAGATATGGGCATTCTCTACGATACTGCGATTTTAGTTTTATCGTATCTTTAAAAATGTGCCTGCCACAGATTTTCGTCCTTTGTGGGGGCGGAAGGGGGCGGGGCGAAATTTTGAAATACACTTGTAGCAGTGTGATATCACATGAGTCTGGAAACCAAATTTGGTTTCTCTAGCTCTTATAGTCTCTCAGATCTAGGCGCTCATCAAGACGGACAGACGGACAGACGGACAGACGGACGGACGGACGGACAGACGGACATGGCTATATCGACTCGGCTATTGATGCTGATCAAGAATATATATACTTTATGGGGTCGGAAACGTTTCCTTCTCTGCGTTGCACACATCCACTTTTACCACAAATCTAATATACCCCTTAACTCTTTTTTGAGTACGGGTATAAAAAATACATGAAATTGTTAAGTTTGTTGTTGATCATCGTAAGACAAATTTAAAATGTAATACAACAAATTATAGTTAAAAAATAACTGCACAATATTATTTTTAGTTTGACTTATTTGAATACAAAATTTAAAGACTCCGTAGATTTTATTGGACAGTTTGAATTATTTGCTTAAAATTTCGATTATGTCTTTACTACCTATCCCATCGGATATATATGTATATAAGTACATTTTGATATTTTTTCAGCGCTTAACCTTTAACGAAGAATTTCCTATTTCCTCGGCGATAGGTAGGCTGGATAAACATTTGATTCAGCTCGTCTATCCAGCAGGATAGTACTGCAAAAGAGGCTATGGATTTTAGCTGTATAAATTCAAGAGAAAATACTCACCCGTTTTGGTGCCATTGATGACGGGGCAGGAACCGTGAAGGGTCTGAGTGTCCAGATCGTGCGTCTCCCCCCGCATATTGTACCAGAACAGAACCTTGCCACGCTCCGATGAGACCTTCAGATTTAGACGGGTAAATACAGTGGAGCCGCCGTCCCTCGCATCGTTAAGCTTCGAAGGAAGACAGGGGGGAGAATTCATAGTTCAGAGTTCAAACGGAGTTCACAACTGACTCACGTAGAAAAGAACGGTGGCCATTCGGTCGCCCAGGTCCTCGACGAACGCCATAGAAGCATTGAAGTAGTCGAAGTGGAGATCGTAGTGGCCCCCGAATCCGTATTTTATCAGCTGCATGAACTGCTGGCGGTTGATGTTCAGTCCGGTCATGTCGCGTATGCGTCTATGGAATCGCTCCACCACCGGCCAGCCCGAGACATCCATATTATCATCGGGATCGGGGATCCAGGCTCCCAGGGCTGTGCGCATCTTGCTGGCGGTCAACCTCTTTCCCTTTCCGACAACGACACTGCGCTTCAGAAGCGGCTCTGCAACGCGCTCCACCTCGGCTATTTCCGCGTCGGAGAGGACATTGTGGTAGACCACTATGTAGGGATCCAGCGACAGCTCCTCCATGCGTAGGGGGGCCAGGCGCAGGAAGGGTGTGGTTGTGGCATTGTAGCGACAGTGAAGGCGCGAGGGTTTATTTTGATGGGAGGAGCGGCAGATCTGATTGAATTCGTCGGGCAGAGCGGGCTGCTTATCCTCCGAAACTTGGACGTGTCTCGTGTTTGTGTAGAGGTTGAGCAGATGCTCCGAATTCTCCGCCAGAGTGGGGTGGGCCATCAGAATGCTTCGAGCCTCCTCTTCCAGGTCTGAAAATGAATAAAGAATAAATCTTCAGCCGAGGAATGTCTGAACAAGATCTGATCCCTTACCCATCTCCACGAAGCAGCGGGCTAACAGAATGAATACCTCACTTGACTGAAATTCCAGCACATCGTACACCGAATAATAGTCTGGTTCTATTAGGTTGAAGGTGTAGTTTAGCCATTGGACTGCTTTTCCGTACTCCCCCCACTGAAAATGCAGCGTTCCAAGAGAGAAGCAGTCGATGGCTGAAATGCTACTGCTGTAGAAGGAACATGGAATGAACGGACGAAATAGAGTAGGCCAGCTGGAGACCTACTTGTACTGCCCGCCATCGATTAGCCCCTCGACGAGATGCGCTGGCTGCACATCATAGGTGCGCACAATGCGGTAGATGGCCTCCGTGGCATCCTCAGCATCTTCTTTTGAAGGAAATTCCTTTGCCTTCTCCTTGAGGAAATTAATCTGATCTGCAGGAAAAAGCTTACGGATGATTTCCATTATTCTTTGGCAGATTTGGACTCACCCTGCCCCACAGGCTGCCGCATGAACTTCTCTAATTGCCGCCAGTCCTCGTGCATATGGCGGATGAGGCGAAAACTGTGCAGTGGATTCGATAGGTACTCCTCCTCCCTGCCCTTCGCTGCCTCGAGGGGAATGCTCATCGCCATTGCAAATCTGTGGGAGCAGCCAACCCAACCCAAGCGATTAGAATAGTTTTCAGGCAGTCTCTCCATCTCCTATCTCACCGCTGCAGCACGTGGACTTTGTTCTGCAACTCTTCAGTATATTGCACGAGGTTTGAGATCAGCTCCCTGTCCAGCAGCAGCAGCTCCATTCGATCCGCCTTTGAGGTCACAAAGTCCTTGGGTCGACTGGATTTCGTTTTGGTCCCACTCTGAAAAGTAGCAATCGCAAGGATCGTGAGGATCAGGAGTAGTAGCGTCATCTGGGAAACGGTAAAAAAAAACGATCGACAGGGGATCATATTATTTGTATCCACGATAGTCTTGCTAAAATCTTAAATGTATAGGTACTTATTTTATTTAATATAAATTCGAATTGGAACTAGGTATATTACGATTCAAGAAAGTCTCAAACGGGACTGTTTCGTTCTTCCTAAGCCATCGATCGTTGTGGTTGAAGCTGCTTTCCAAACGCTTTCGGCATCGGGTGAGGTTTTGCCTTCGGTTGTTTTCGCCTTATGGCGTCGGCTGAGAGCGTGGGTGCGACTGCAGCTGGCAAGTAATAGGTGTCGGCTTTCTTATGGAATGGAGAACGCACTTGTTGGCCTTGTTTAGCCCGGGGTTTCGTGTTGCATGAGTGATATGTGAGTGATAGTGGAGTGAGTGAATATATGTGTGTGGATATGTCACTATATGTTGTGTATTATAAAATCAGTATTATCGATATATTTTTATAACCTTGCCAGTCATTATCCATCCTTCAAAATTTTTTGCTTGGTCTACACATAAAACACATAAAACCAGGCCGAATACTGAACAGCCATCAAGTGGCTGACCCTGACCCAGGAGCTGATGGAGGAGCAGCCCCTGGATTACTACGATTAGCGGGGGGCCACAAGCAGTGGGATTACCTTCCTGCTGGCCCGCTGCCTGGTGGCCACAGACAGGGCCCACGAGGCAGTGATCCTTCTGAGGGAGCACAAGGAGTTCGGGGATAAGCCAAACGACATCGTGTCACACTTCCAGGAGCATCCACCCAAGCAGTCCATCGACCTGCAGTCGCGGCTCTGCACGGAGGACTTAAAGCACCTCTGCCGGTCGACTATGGGACCGATCAGCAGGCCCCTCGAAGCCGTCGCGTCTGCGTTGTCGCTACAATGCCACAAGCACTCCCTTCCTGCGTCTGGCCATCCAGCGGCTGTACCACAGTGTTCTGAACGACGCGGAGATGTCCAGGCTTAAGAATATGAGCACCCCTCTGCTGGGCTGCACGCTCGTGTACAGCAAAGAGACAAACAAGAAGGTTCTCTCGACCGGCCACACTGCCAATGCGGTCTGGACTCCGCTCCCCACGATGGGGCCAGAGAATGTGGCGCTGTTGGAGCGCATTCAGCGAAATTATAATTTCATCATGGTACTGTTCCTCCATGCTCCCTTTTCTTATGCCAGGATAAAACAAAAAACACACATTGCTAAAAATAAAAGCTAAAGTCGCTCACGCTCTTAACTTTTCGCCGCCGCTGTAGGTCATTGCATTTGCACTGACACCACATTCAGTAGGAAGAGAGGATCAAATGTAAAAACGCTTCAAATCAATTGCCATTTCTCTGCTGCAGATCTCATCCACGCACTTTCCTTCTAGAACATTCGCCAAAGCTAAAACACACACACACAGGGCCGGCATTAGAGGTTATGACGCCCGGGGCAAACATGAGAAGAGACGCCCTTTGATAGTTTTTTTTCCTGAAATGAACAAATTAAGGGAATTAAGGGCGCCCCTTAAAATTTGGCGCCCTGCCCTAAAACCGGCCCTGCACACACACTCACACAAAATGCTCTCTTTTAGACGCTCTCACCGATTGCAAGTCACCTTCAAATGCCTTTGAGTAGGAAGAGAGCGCTAAGTCAAATTTAAACTCCCGGCGCAGACGCATGCTTATTCATGTCGCGGAGGCAAAAGTTCGGAAAAATGGCGCTAAAAAGTTCGAAAAATTAAAAAAACCCGTGCGATAGGTGTAGCAAAAGTTCGGAAAAATTAAAAAAACTCGTTTAATAGGTGTAGCAAGTTTTTAAAAGGGAAACCTGTTGCAAAAATTCAGAAATGTGATGAAAGTTCAAAACAATCGCCATTTCTCTGCTGATGATCTCATCCAGGCACTTTCCTCCTAGAACATTCGCCAATGTAACAACACACCACGCACACACATTGTAAAAGCAAAGCCTCTCTTTTAGACGCTCTCACTGATTGCAGTCCCTTCACCTTCAAATGTCTTTGAGTAGGAAGAGAGCGCTAAGTCAAAATTAAACTCCCGGCGCAGACGCATGCTTATTCATGTCGCGGAAACATGGCGCAAAAAAGTTCGGAAAAAATTAAAAAAAAACCCGGTGATACTTGCTACACTCGCTACACGTGCTTAAAAGAAAAATCTGCCGAAAAATTGGTGAAAAGAGTAATAAAAAAGTTCTGGAAAAAGCTGGAAAAGTGCAACTTCATGTGGTAGAAGAGCCTAAGAATTAGGGAAAAATAAAAAAAGATCACATCAAGTGTGAAATCAATATTTTTCCCATGCGAAAAAACGCCCGAAAACTGCAACGTTTCCAGCTATTGGAATATGAGTGTAAAGAAGGAAAGAATTAAAATAACGGCATCAAGATGCGAGTTGAGTTTTTTTTGGTGTTGAGTTTTTTTCCTGTGCTCAGCAAGGTGAGCGTGATGTGCAAAATGGTCATTATGACGGCAAGCAGTGCAAGGCGGCAAGCAGTGAGCGAAAGTGTTAAAGTCAGATTAAATGCGAGAGAGAAAAAAAAACTTAAGAAAGAGAGGAAATTTTGGGCGCAAATCGCCGTAAAGAAAAAGTAACGGCAGCTTATGAGTGTTTTTTTTTTTCTGTGAGAGTGAGATTGAGTGTTTGTGCTGGATGGTCATTATGATGGCAAGGGGTGTCAGGCGGTTTCGGCAAAAAGTGAGTGAAAATAAAATGCCCCGCAAAACTATAGAAAGAGCGGAAAAAGGCCCGCTGAACTAAAGAAAGAGCGGAAATAATAAAAGGCTTAGATGGCCAAAAAGTGAGTGAAAGTGCAGGTGAAAATAAAATGCCCCGCAAAACTGTAGAAAGAGCGGAAAAAGGCCCGCTGAACTATGGAAAGAGCGGAAATAGTAAAAGGCTAGATGGCCAAAAAGTGAGTGAAAATAAAATGCCGCGCAAAACTGTAGAAAGAGCGGAAAAAGGCCCGCTGAACTAAAGAAAGAGCGGAAATAGTAAAAGGCTTAGATGCCAATAAGTGAGTGAAAGTGCAAGTGAAAATAAAATGCCCCGCAAAACTGTAGAAAGAGCGGAAAAAGGACCGCAGAACTATGGAAAGAGCGGAAATAATAAAAGGCTTAGATGGCCAAAAAGTGAGTGAAAGTGCAAGTGATAATAAAATGCCCCGCAAAACTGTAGAAAGAGCGGAAAAAGGCCCGCTGAACTAAAGAAAGAGCGGAAATAATAAAAGGCTTAGATGGCCAAAAAGTGAGTGAAAGTGCAAGTGAAAATAAAATGCCCCGCAAAACTGTAGAAAGAGCGGAAAAAGGCCCGCTGAACTAAAGAAAGAGCGGAAATAGTAAAAAACTAAATGGCCAAAAAGTGAGTGAAAGTGCAAGTGAAAATAAAATGCCCCGCAAAACTGTAGAAAGAGCGGAAAAAGGCCCGCTGAACTAAAGAAAGAGCGGAAATAATAAAAGGCTTAGATGGCCAAAAAGTGAGTGAAAGTGCAAGTGAAAATAAAATGCCCCGCAAAACTGTAGAAAGAGCGGAAAAAGGCCCGCTGAACTAAAGAAAGAGCGGAAATAGTAAAAGGCTAAATGGCCAAAAAGTGAGTGAAAGTGCAAGTGAAAATAAAATACCCCGCAAAACTGTAGAAAGAGCGGAAAAAGGCCCGCTGAACTAAAGAAAGAGCGGAAATAATAAAAGGCTTAGATGGCCAAAAAGTGAGTGAAAGTGCAAGTGAAAATAAAATGCCCCGCAAAACTGTAGAAAGAGCGGAAAAAGGCCCGCTGAACTAAAGAAAGAGCGGAAATAGTAAAAGGCTAAATGGCTAAAAAGTGAGTGAAAGTGCAAGTGAAAATAAAATGCCCCGCAAAACTGTAGAAAGAGCGGAAAAAGGCCCGCTGAACTAAAGAAAGAGCGGAAATAGTAAAAGGCTAGATGGCCAAAAAGTGAGTGAAAGTGCAAGTGAAAATAAAATGCCCCGCAAAACTATAGAAAGAGCGGAAAAAGGCCCGCTGAACTAAAGAAAGAGCGGAAAATATTAAAAGGCTTAGATGGCCCAAAAGTGAGTGAAAGTGCAAGTGAAAATAAAATGCCCCGCAAAACTATAGAAAGAGCGGAATAAGGCCCGCTGAACTAAAGAAAGAGCGGAAATAGTAAAAGGCTCAATGGCCAAAAAGTGAGTGAAAGTGCAAGTGAAAATAAAATGCCCCGCAGAACTTTAGAAAGAGCGGAAAAAGGCCCGCTGGACTAAAGAAAGAGCGGAAATAATAAAAGGCTTAGATGGCCAATAAGTGAGTGAAAGTGAAATTGAAAATAAAATGCCCCGCAAAACTGTAGAAAGAGCGGAAAAAGGCCCCGCAAAACTATGAAAAGAGCGGAAAATAATATGCATCTTATGAGTGTTTATTTTTAGTAATTTTTGCATTAGTGCATGTCATTATGACGGCAAGGTATGCCAGGCGGTTTCGGCAAAAAGTGAGTGAAAAAAACAATGAAATTCACCGCAAAAACAAAATAAAGAGCAGCGAGTAACAGAGCAGCAATAAATGTATGACATGTACCGCAATAACCTTATAAAGAGCGCAAATATGTATGACATTTGTTTCGATTTTTCTTTTATTTGGAACTATTGAATAAAAGATCAAAGGAGATAATATCCTAACTGCAAGTCAAATAAAATTGAAGGTGAGTTTGCACAAGACACTTTTTTTTATAATAATAATTCTACTATTCATTTGAGTGTACATGCATTTATTTTGAATTATATTCTACACTTTTGGGAATTTTATTTTTCCCACTTTTGGATGCGGAAATGCTTCCAGATGAAAAAGTAATACTATCTCTCATTTACATATAAACATGCAACATTTAATATATACACATAAACATAAATGCCATATCCCAGTCCAAAAGTAGCGCATATATTTTTCCTCCCATCTTCAATTTTGTATAAAATATGTAAGTCAATAATTCAATTAAGATTGTATCCATTTCCCTTTCCATCACTGCAAAATGCAATCCTCAAGAACACTCCAAGAAGATGATTGCTGCTTACTCATCTATAGCTTTCCTTCTCTCTGGAGTGGAGTGTGGGTTCCCGTTCGTACCTTGACCTTCGATTCGCACTTGAAATCGCTTCCTTCTCTGGCACTGGTGCTGGCACTCGGCTCATTGCACCATTAAGTAGCAATTAAATTCAATTAGCCGCAGCTCTCCCGTACTCTCTTCGACATTTGCATCCCATCCTTCTGCTTCCCATTTATCACGCATGGCTGTACCTACTCGTACATCCTCCTCCCTATCATCCCCATGTTGGATTCCTCTGCAACTTTTGCCCTTTGATTTCGATTGGTGCTGCTAATAATTTCTCAGATTTATCGTCTTCCTTTCCGCCACTCTAGTTTCTGTTTGTTTGGCGAAAGTTTTCTCTGGGTTTTCTTGGCTTTTCCGACTTTGCTTTCAATTAAGATTGATGGCGTGCACTTTTCCCTGCGTTTTCCCCTGCCAACTATCTAAGCAGGCCACGGCTTAAAGTAGGGTGAGAGTATGGAATGCATTTGTCTTGATTTCACCTTTTGAGCCAACAGATACAGACACATATACAGATTGGATGAGTCCTTTTCATCTCGCAGACAACATATGTCTGCACCATCTATATTTCTCTACTCCTCTCTCTTTCTCTCTCTCTCTATATCTCGGGTTGTTGGCCAAAAGGTAACAGCGGCAATTTATCAAAATTTGCACTCACAAAGAGGCTGAGGGGCTGAGTGATGGGGCAGGACATGCAGGAGAAATGTGGCTACAATTGGCATATGCGTGTGCGTATGTGCATTTGTATGTGTGTGTTTGTGTGTCTAGGTGGAGACTCCCCCCTCTCTCTTTCTCTCTGTACTTGACTTAAATTGCTTTTTTCAATGCCAACGGCTGCTGCTGCTGCTATTGCTGCTTCTGCTGTTGTCCTCCTGTCACATGCGGAGCCAAATGTCATTTCAGCAAAATCCCTCAAGTCGTTCGTCTGCCCTTGTCTGTCGTGTTTTATCTGTGTGTGTGTGTGTGTGCGTGTGTGTGTGCGTAAGAAAACATTGTGCAAAATATATGTTGGGACAACAACAACAACAACATCAGAAACAGAAAGAACATTTTCCTGCGGCTGCTTAAATTGCATTGGGAAATAGGTTGGGGATCTACTGCCACTGCCACTGCCCGTGCCACGCCAAGACAATGAACAGTTGTTGCTTTTGAGTGTGTGTGGGATGGGTGGCTGTTGGCTGCTGAAAGGTGCATTTGTTAGTGGCCTCAGAGATAGCTCTTCCATCTGGGGATTTCCTCCTGAAATATCCGAGTTTGTCAACTCTGATTCTGATTATCTGAAATGGCTCTAATTGGGCGACTCTCCATAAAGTGTGGAAGTGAATCTCCATATAATCCCATCAGCCCTATCCCACAATCTCTTTATCCTGGATCCTTCCTGTTGCTCCTTCGCTCTAATAAAATTAAAATGCCAACCATTTTCACTGAAATGCGATAGTCCTTGCTCCTCCTCCTACTCCGCTTACTCTGTTAAAAAATTAGCAACAATTTTTCAGCATCGCATCAAAATGTGCCCTGCCCCACTGTCAACCACACCGCATCGTGAGGCAAAGCCACCCTCAGTCCTCAGTTGCGGCCCCACTCTGAGGCACTTATCAAGAAGCTGACTTACTTTGTGCTACACCTTGTGGCTCTTCTCATTCCCATTCACATTCCCCCCTCTGCTTCCTTCATGCCACACGCACTTTGTCATCTCCTTGGGCCCCGCCTGGCTCTGGTTCTGTCTCCGGTTGCGACTCCATCGCGCTGCTGCTTCATCTTGCTCCTTCCTTCGTGGTAATTTGATATGCCGTCGTGGCTTACATTTTTTATCCGCCATTACCGCAAAACGATTTACTTCCGCGTCGCAATTTGCTTTAAATTTTTATTTAAACAACAATTTGTTCAGATTTTGAGCAGATTGAGATTTCCGCTGAAAGATGTGCCACAGAGAGAGAGAGATTTGATTTGATTGTGGGGCAGGACCCCGGAGCCACGAGTGTGTGGAAATGCCATCCATACTGTCAACTCATTGATGCACCTTCAGCCACAGGGCTGCCAAGGATGTGGCTGCAACGGACACTCGGCAAATTAATTTGCTGCAGACTCCACAGCTGCCTCGAATTGTTGGGTGTGGTCGCCAGCCCAGTCCTTGCTTCCTGATGGCTGTCCTTGATGCTTGTTGGATAGTACATAGAGAGAGGGTATCATGTATTCGTCGAGGGGTATGCGACAGGTAGAATAAATACCGACCAATTTTTTATTTTATAAAAAAAAAATTTAAATGCAAAAAATACAGGAAAGTCTCTTCACTTAATTTCTCTCTGAATGAATGTTCTTTTTAAGTTTCATTTAGCTTTAAACTATTACAGGGTATCAATTACTTTCAATAGAATAATATAATAATTTTTCCCCCCAATTATACGCTTTCCTGTTCTGTTTTCGCTGTTATTTTTTTTGTCTTTTTGTTGAGCTGAAATTGGTTTCGTGTTCATTTTCGTTTGCTCTCTGCTGGTCCACGTCCACGCCCATCGCAGGGCGGGACTTACTCAAGAAATTCCCCCGTGTCTTGGAATCCCTTGCTCCTGGCTTTCCGTTGTCCTTTCTCCACTCGATGGTTTTTTCTGCACTTTTTTCTGCGGCTTTTAATTTGATTTCTTGCACCTTTTCTAATTGGCAATTGGAGCCGCTTGGATGTCGCTGACAGCAGCAGCAGCGCAGTATTTTCCACTGCAGCAGCATTTTCCTCTCGCCCTAAAATTTAAAAGCTTTAAATTATCCTGGAACAGGAGATGAGGGGATTGGGGGGTATGGTATGGGTGGCTGGTCCGACTCCTGGCGTTAATGGCTCTTTTATGGCCGCCACTGTGTGGTCCCCCCGCTGCTGCTGTGGCAGCTGCAAATATTTTGCCACTCCATGGCAGTTCGGGGATTGAGGATTGGGGGTATTTGGTCTTGTTTCAGCAAAAATCTAATCTATGCAAGCCCCGCTACACGCTCTGCGCTCCACGCAGTGTGGCAACTATTTTTTTTGCCGCTTGCAACGTTTTTTGCTGCTGCTGCTGCTGCTGTTGGGAAGCTTAACAGTTAATTGCCCCTTGAAGAATACCGCCACACAGTCCACAGACAGCTCCACAGCTACGGGAGCTGAGCTCCATGGATCCACAGATCCAGAGTCCAGAGCCCATTCTCGTACCACGACACGTGGACACACGACACAAAAGCCCCGCCCCAAACAATGGCTCTGCTCTCCATTTGCCTGCCCTGTGTCCTCGTCTGTATCCGTATCCGTGGCCGTATCCGTGTCCATGTCCGTGCGTGTGTTTTAATCGGTTTGACTTTGCTGCCTGACCTGTCTGCGAGGGGAGGGAACGCAGTGTGGCAGCAAGGGGCATGCAACAACAAGGACAAACAACCAGTGTTGCCAGTGTGTGGCCCTGCAGCAGATTGAATCCTAATCGAGAGGATTTGACTTTGGTTACGTTGCGTAAACACGCAACAACGGCAACAACCGGCACAGGAATTCCCCCACTCCCCCTTCCCTCACCACCCCAGTCAGTCAAGATTACAGTGAAGACTGTTTGGAACGAAAAGAAACGAATTCTCTTTTATAAAATATATAATTATTTGTTGCCTGTTACATCAATCGATGGGGCGACACCTTGGGACGATCATTAATGGCACGACCAGTTGGAATCCACCTGGTTGCGGTCATCCTCATGGGACACTCTTCACGTTTCGCTAGTCTGCTCTTTAAGGCCTCTTCCCTCTGAAGCGAAGCTTTCACGGAACTTTAATCTGCAGCTGAATCCAAGCATGGGGTTCGTTTTTCGCGTTTGTCGTCCTATCCGCTGATCCTATGATACTGACCCTGGGAGGCAGCCGTGCCCCTGCTTCATTCCTAGTAGTCGCCGTAGTTGATCCTTAGCTGGTTCCACGCCAATTGCTGGTGTCCCGCAAGATCACGATAACATCTCCCAATCGGTCCCATAATTTCATTTAAAGATTTTTCAATGGAATCGAATCCTGTGCAGGTCTGTCTTCTGGTGGAGGGACGACTTTTGGACATAGAGATGAGATTGTTGAACTCTGTATGTGGAGCCCAAGGAGCCCAACTCACATTCAACCCAGTCCAAACATTGCCAAAACTGTGTGAATGATCCATGTGAAGGCTTTTTCCCCTTTGCCATTGCCTTGGGGATGTGCTAGATCTGGAAGGATACTCGTATAGTCATGGAGAAAAGGCAATCACCAATCTACATACCAAAGTGGGGAACAGAACATGGTTGTCATGCATGAATCCTCTCAAGAAGCCAATTGGTCCATTGGACGGTGTCCTCCAAGGATCAGTAGCATCGGAACGGCGGACAGGACGGCACACACAAAGAGCCAACCCGAAGTTTTGATGCGACTGCAGACGAGAAACAGTTCCGACGAGCCTTCGCTTCCGAAAGAAGCAGCCCAAGGAGCACATGACCAAAACGTAATTAGTGGCCGATAAGAACGATCCCAACTAGGTGGTCAACTATTCGTGCCACAGAGTACCGTTGCCGTTCCCGTTCCCCACTCGGTGGATGTTTCATTGATTTTGTCGAAAACTTCCCTGCAGGCTGGCAGGCATTTGTGGTGCATCCATCTCCATCCCACCGTTGCCGATCCTCTTGATTAGCTGCAGGATTAGCTACCAACATTTGCTTCGTTTGACACACACACACACAAAAAAAAACAAATCCCAACAAAAAATGTAAGCCAGAAGAATTTTTTTTATTTTTATTTTTTACTTTTGAAATTAATATTTTTAGATGTTGCCTGGTCGAGGCATTTCTAGCAACTGAAAATTTAAGTCCGAGTTCCAGGCTAACAACGGATATTTTCGATTTGGGGATGTCTGAAGCCTACTTTGTTCCCTAAATCGGTGAACGGAAAAGAAACAATCGACCAGTCGTGTCGTGTGTGCGAGGTTTAATCGGATCTTCTAGTACTAGTATAAAGTGTGTTTTTCCTTCCTAGTCTCCACTGTGGTACTCTTCTGAGTGCAGTTTATTGTAGCATACTTGTGGCAGAGACAGGCAGGCAGGCAGGCAGGCAGCTGTTGTTTGCTTGTCCTTGGGGCAATTCGGTGGGCTGTTGGCTTTTGGCTGGGCGGAGGCTTTGTTTCGAGAGGGGGCTGGGCACACAAAGGCAATTTGTGTGTGTGTGTATCTTTTTAGGTGATCAGCCAATGGTGCGTGTGTGGCGTGGAGGCCTCCTTCTGCAACTGCTTGGGCTGTGGCTGGCTCCCTGGTGCTGCTCCTGCTGCTGCAGCTTGCGGTTGCGCTTAGCCATTTCCTGCCTCTCCCACTCTTCCTGGCCAACTGTTGGCCATGGCTTTAAATGCGCTTTTAATCGGTCAGAGGTTCGAAGGGTTCTCAGGGTTCTCTGGCCAGACAGAAAGTTGCATCAATATTGGAGTTGAACTGCGGTCGGACGTGTGTCCTGTATAAGAAGCAGACCAGTGCAGAGCAGAGCAGCTGTTGAGAGGCAGCCAAAAGCAGCGTTCAGCATACACGTAGAGAAAAAAACAGAGTGAGGGAGAGAGGTAGATAGATATGGGTATAACTTTTTGACAGTTTTAAGTTTGAGCGGAACTCCTCGACTGCCTCCCCCCCTCCTCTGTGTTGTTTGGCAACTTGTGACACAAAGGCGCCATCCTCCATCCTCGATATGTCTCCATCTACTCTCCATCTGTCTCTTTCTCTCACTCTCTGTCTGTGCAGCCTTCTCCCGTTCTTGGGGGCATGCAACAATGCGCTGACTTGACTTGTCTTACTCCGGTCTGTTGTCTGTTTTCCTCCTCTTTTTCTGCCCTCCCTGCGACCTTCACACACACCACTGCACACACCCGAGGAAAACTTAAACATCACGTAAGCATCCATTTCCTCCTCGCCCTCTCCTCCCTTCCAACTCTGCTATGGGGGCATCCCCCCCGATTTGTACATACATCAAAAATTTTATTATTTCTTACAATTTTTGCTTAAATTTTGCTTTTACTTTTCGTCCTGCTACTGCTCCTGCTGCTGCTGAAAAGGTCAGACATTGTCAGTTAAGTGTCCATGTCCATGTCCAAGTCCCAGTCGAAGAGTTGAGAGTCCAGCGTCCAGTGTCCAGTGTCCAGAAAACTCTTGTCCAAGATTTCGAGTGCTTTTCACAATTTTTTAGTGCTCTCTGCTCCCCTTCCTCTCCCCCCCTTCCCACTTTTTTGGCCTGTCTTTTGGCCCTTATTGAACGCCTTTCGGTTAGGTGTCAATGTGTGCAAAAGCTGAAGCTGAAGCAGCAGCAGCAGCAGCAGCAGAATTATGGCAAAGGCAAATGGTATTGGAAAACTTTGCCATGCCAAGCCAGCAAATGGATATTACAATTCAGATTCAGATTCTTGCAGGAGGGAAAGGGAAAACCAAGGCAGAATGGGTAGAGGGAACTAGCACCCAAAAGAATGAGGCAGACCACAGAGGAGGTGGTCCATCTATATGCTGTATGCTATATGATTTTTCCTTTGATTGGATGTGAATGTAAATGGAAAGAAGCAGAAGTTGGCTCATTTTGTACATTCAGGGAGAAATTAATTGCTTGGCCTATTTAGGCTCTAGGGAAACCCACAAAATGTTATTTTATTTATGTATCAAATTAATATATTAACAATTATCTGTTAACAAAAAATTAAAATTTAAATAACTGCACAATAGGAAACAATAAAAAAGTAATTCAATACATTTCACGATTGAAAATGTTGATAAATATTACATGCAATAATATAGAGTGATATTTCCGGGGGATAAGGTATGCCAAAGGTTTGCCCCACTCAAGCCTTTTATATTTCAAAATTTGCATATTGTATTAAAATGTGTAAAGAAATATGATAATTTTAATAATTCGATCATTTAATTTTGAATAATTTTTAACTTTTCTATTTTGTTTGAATATTTATTATATGCAATATATTACAGAATTAATTAGACAATAGACATATGGAATGTACATTTGCATTCCTTTTGCATTTACTGGAACTGCCACCGATCCCTTCTATCGCAATGGTGTCGCTTGCTCACTCATTTCACACTCTCAAGATATATGTACATCTATATATATGTATAATGTTTAGATATAGTATCTCCTTCCCTCCCCCTTTGAATCGAATCGAATTAAATCGGAACGAAGAACGAACTCATACGCACACCGTGACATAAATCAGAAAATCAACAACTAACACAAAACGGTATAAAAAATACGGATTTTGATTTATTGGCTGTTTCCCACCCGCCATATAGCCCCACCCCTCCCCTAAGTAGACAGCTCAAAGGCCTAAACGTGGCCTAAAGCAAAGAGGAACAACAAGCAGAGCACAAAACCAAAACAAAACCAAAATTCAGATATGAAAGAGGAGCAAAGGAGACACGCCAAACAATGGAAAAAGAGAAAGAGAGAGAAAGAAGAGACTTTTGATTTGTGACTTGCGACTTTTCACGTAGCAATTTATCCTCCTCCCTCCTGCCACACACACACACACACAGGCACGCACGTGGAGAGGAGGAAAATCTCCATAAAATGAAAATATGAAAATAAAAATCACGCAACAGGATATTGAAACGTCACACATATGCCACAAGTGCCACAAGGCGAGGCCTTGCTCACGTAGTGCACAGCGAGGGGAGGGGTGTGGGTGAGCGGGAGGGTGTGGGTGTGGGTGTATTGGTGTATGGCAGACAGGACTTCATTTTGGGGGGCATTAAAACTGTCAGTGGCGCAGATTGCCTGCGGTGGCTAAGGACAGCGAAACCTACACCTTCCACATGATTTATTTGCCAATGCCATTGCCATTGCCATTGCATTTATTTGTTTGTTGCAGCAGCAGCACGGAACATTGGAAAGAGCGTGATGGGGGCGTGATATACGTTGTGGCAAGAGGAGAGAAAGTGAAATTGGCGCAAAAAAACTGCGCAAAAATTCGTCGGTAAGCCCCCGTAAAACAGTTGCAGCAGTTTCTTTAGCCTTATTTCGTCACGTCACATCCACATCCACCCTCTCCGACCCCCCTAGCGAGCACGTCCTAGGAGCAGTGTCCTGCGAGGGAGGAGGATGGAAGCGGAGCAGCAGTTGGCCAAAAGCAACGATAGATATGAAGGTGGGTCAGAAGGAGCAGCAGAAACAAGGGGGGTGGGAGTAGCATTTGGCTTTCGTGGGAGAGAGTCCTGGATCCTGGCCAATTGTCAGACGCCGACTGATTGGAACTTTGAGCCTGCAGCAGCTTCTGCCAAAGGACGTGCAGGGAAAGTTTAAATAAACACAGGAGCAGGACACACTCTATAGAGGAGTGGTGGAATGAGGAATTGGTTGGTGGGGGCAGGATGGATATCCGCGTTAAAGTTGCGTGAAAGTTCCACAAAAAATGCTTCTAGATCACACGTAATCGGAGCTGCGATATACCCTTTGTTTGCCAGTACAGGGTATACTCTCTCCTGCCCATCCCTTCCCCCGTCCGTGTGTGCGTATCCTGAAAGCATATCCATTTCACGCACAAGTGCCGTGTGGGCTCTGTCCCCGAGAATGAACCGTGTGTCAAATCCATTAACCTTCTGTTTACTTTTCTACGTCCAGCAGCCAGGAGCCAGAGGCAGCAGCCGCAAAAAATCACAAGTAGCAGCCATCATCCACTGGAAATACGAGGAGCAAGGGGAAGGCATAGATGCCGATGGCCGAGTGAAAGTGTTTTTGTGTGGTTGAAATTTGATATTTTCACTAAATTGCGTTGCACACTTGAGGTCGAGGTCCTTCCCTCTCCGGACATAAATCTTACCTTGGTGTTGGGGCGCGTGGTGCGGGGGAAATGGAGCAGCAAATCAACTCCCATCCACACGTATCCTTGGAGCCACCCCCCACCAGAAACTGAGTATGAAATGAGTATTAAGTTGACGTAAATTGCGGTCCATTACATTAACCAAAGGGAAAGAGTCTAAGAAAGAGTGTAAGGGTGAGAGTGTGAGTGGGGTGCTTGGGGTCTGGTCTGCCAATTAACCTCCCCCCACATTCCAGGGGTGTCTCTGCTAATTGCTTTTGTAGTTTCTCTGCAGCACCGGAAACAAAACAATATCGATAGGAAAAGATAAATGGGAATGGGAATGAGAGGGAGGAAGGTGTTCATTAGAAGATAGGTACATATGTACATACATATGTATTTATGTGGGTACATTAAGGGGAATAAATGTACTTAAATGGGTTTTAATTGATATATTTGGGAAATGTGAAATATGTGCCATATTATTGAATGTTTTCGTACGCTTTAAATGGATTACTCAAGTAGTTGGATTAAGATTCGTTTATCTTATATCTAATATTACTTAAGAGTTTTCTACCAATTATTTTCTTTTGCCGAAATTAATTTTATTAATAATTAATTCAGCTGTAATCTGTTTTAGAATAACTTTTAAATTAAATTCTGCAACTCCTTCAATTCAGAATATCAACGCATGGCGCTGCTGTTTCGTGTATTTTGTGTACTTTGATGGATCATCGAACTGCCCAATTAAGCGCCCCGAAATCTACTTGGTGGAGAGACGCGTGCGCTTGTTCCACGAAAAGTTGACTCCGTAGCTCTTGACAGGCTGCTTCTTGGGTTTCTTCTCCTGGGCGTCGATATACCAACGCCAGCCATTGCGTTCACAGTAGGTAACGGCCTCGTCTTTAGTTCCGAAATGCAAATTCAAATTTGACAACGGATCGCCACTGTAGAAAACGAAAGGGAAGAAGAGACTGCTACTAGTACGGGGCCATTAGTTAGTTACTAGCTCTAATTGCAATACTTACGATGAGGCCCAGCCCATTAGAGGGTTCTCCCAGCGCTCCCGATTGTCGAACTCAATCTGCCACTTGTTGAGGTTGCTGGTGCCGCTTTGCATCGCATTCTTGGGTGGGATGTGAATGCGCACACGCCGCTCCTTGAGCAGCTTCGCGGGCACACCGGAAATGGGACTCAGATCCACGGCTGTGGGCACGGTGATCGTTCCGCTCAATTTGCAGCGCTGCTCCAACTCCTCTGGATGGGCCAAGGCCGTTTTTGGATCAAGTGGAGCGTCGGTATCCGTGGTAGACGCGCAGCGGGAAGCAATATTAGCAATTTTGTTGGTAGTAGCATTTAATCTACAGCCCCACCAACCAAGCATGCAAATATTGGAGGCTTAGCATTTCCAAAATGTGAGAGGCTGAGCAACGTTATTTATTTACTTACAGCTGAAAGGAGATGGACGTAGTCCCGAGGCACATTACTTGGCGTAGGAGCGACATTTCTCTCGCAAGTTGAATTTTGTACATACAATTTGGAACACAAATCTCATTCGTTCCTTGGTTTTATTTTGGTTAACTTAGTTTTGGGTTTTTCATGAACGAACCAACAAAAATTAACTACTAATTACTGCAGTGCATGGAACTACTTTAAGATGTTGCAGCTAGCTAGCAGAACATTTAATTATATAATAATATATAATTATATTATATAATTATACGCGATAATGTAATAATTTTGAGTGATTTCTCTCATTGGATTGCATACGTACATATGTATCTTATATGTATGTATGTTTCGATATCGAATTCCCTTTTAATTGCAGTGTAGATACGTTTTATGCTGCATTTCCTGTTTCACTGAATTTCCACTTGTAGATGATCATTCCTTAAATTAATTCTCTCTGCGTAAAGCTGCGCTACCTTCTCTCCCTACTTGAGGCTTTCTGCTAATTGAATTTTAATTGTCATTGATTTTACTTTGCTGCACATTTTACTTTTGGAAAGCAGAAGTAGAGCTGTAGCGCACACGCCTTGTTGTACCTTCGAAACGGAACAAAATTTGCATTGTTTTCTTCACTCCAGCGGAAAGCCAAAAGCAGCAACAGGAGGAGCTCCAGCTACAGCTACAGCATCCTGGCTGTTGCTCTTTTGACTCTGCTACAAATAAGCGGGGCATCAACTTTAATCACCTGCTTAATTAAATCAGTTTCGCCTGGCGACTGGCGCCAGGTCCAGCACTGGCACTTGCCCTTGTTCCTGCCATTGTCCTGCCATTGCCCTGCCATTGGGGAGTTGGGGCACTGTGTTTTGGTCCTGCATAAATTACGTGCTGCATAATCACCTACAAGCGTTCCACTTAAGCTCCTGGCAAGTGTCCTTTCCTCTCTTTTGGAGTTTTTCTTGTTCTTGGCTTCACTTTTTGTTTTTTCTGTTTGTGTGATTCCCTCTGCTGATGTCCGTCCGATAAAGTTGTTAAATAATTTACGTTTTCCTTGACTTGCCTCCGCATTTCTTTTGTTTTTTTTCCCCCCCGCGATGCGGTTTTCATTTGCTCTGTTCTGAGTTCTGTTTTTATCTGATTCTGATTTAGATTCAGATTTATGTTTTTTAATTCCATTAGCGAGCCATTTACCTCCTCAAGGAGATGCTCCTGTGCGGGAATTGGGCGGAAAAGAGTTTAACGATCTGTGAATTGTGATATGATGTAAGAATGAAGGCAAAAACATGGTATTCTATGGGAAGTGTAGTTCAAGAAAGGTACTGGGTAATTATTTTTATATGTCTTGTTACATCGTAGCTGGAGATCAAAATTATAGATTATTGTAGATTCATTTGAATTTCATAATTTTAATTTTATTGATTGATTTTAATGGATTTAAATTCCAATTTAAATTATGTTTTATTTTAGATGGTTTACAGAACTAGTTTCAGGAGGATTTGCTTTCATATCTGAATATGCAAGAATTTTATTAATCTCTTACTAAAGAATTTTCCCAGTCCAGAGCAGGTTACTCTCTATTCCACTCTATCCCTTTCAATTTGCACCATTCTTGGGTGATTTGCAGCCTTGTCAGCAGTTTTTGGTTGCGGTTGAAGTTTTACATAAAATCGATCGAACATTCGCAGGACACAAGGCCAGAACGGAGAACGCACTCCTCGACAATAAAAGGCCAGAATCAACAATTATGTTAATTCCTTTTGTGGGTCAATGTCTCGCATACACACATACACATACACGCAAGAGGACATACACACACACATTTACATTGAGCTGTATTTTATGGCCGCTTCTTGGCCAACTGTCAGCACACTCTTGGTCAGAAGAAGGGGAAGGAGAAGGCGAAGAAGAAGAAGAAGAAGAAGAAGGGAGAAGGCCAGTTGCAGTGGCAAAATAAATTAACATTATTTATGATTTTTAGTGCTTAACATTTCTCCGATCTCTGTAAACTGTAACCTGTTAACGGGATGTGATTTCCCCTTCTGTTAGTTAACAGTGAGCTCTCTATGTTAGGCTACATGGCTGACTCTTTCGCTGTTGGAATTCTTTCACGCTTTTTCTCTCTCCTCTTCTGCGCATGTCTCTGTCTTTCACTCACACACCTCTGCGGTGACACGTGCTTTCTTCGTCTTCCGTCGTATATATAATGTACTGTACCTTACGCATCCCACCAATCTACCTGCGTCAGTCGCCCATTCCTACCATCCACTACCTTATATACATATACTTCTCTCTTTCTCTCTCTCTCACTCACTCTCTATCGTTCGTCCTGTACCTGTTTTAGGTGTTTGTGGGGGGGTTTTCTGGTCTTCGTCTTCGTTTGGCAGCGACGTCGTCGTCGTCATCGTCATCGTCGTTTCTCTCTGTTGGAAGAGTGCAACATGCGCTGTGTGTGGTAGGTGCCGGGGCCATGCTGCCTCTCTCACTTGTACCTGCCGTGGGCCCCCCTCCCTCAACCGTTTCGCCCCCCTACCCATGCAGACAACCGCAAGTAACAGTTGTTTTGCGTTCATTTCTCACCTCTCTCTCATTCGTCGTGCGTTTTTCGTTCGCTCTCCCCCACACAGACACACACAGGTTGCTTGCTCTCTCTCTCTTTCTCTCTCTCTCGCCTACCTATATGTAGGTATTTTAAGGTAAACGAAAATGTTGGCAGCCAACCAAAGCGGAGCAGCACCTTGAGGTGGGTGGGTAGGCGGGTGGGGTACACTCTCAGAGAGAGGAAACGACTACCGACCACCTCTTGATGTATATCCCTTCCCTTTTAATGGGGGTATGGGGGTTTTTGCATGATTTATGGCCCCGTAAAACTATTACGCCTCAGAAAATGATTAGAAAAAGCTCATTTGACTGCTGCCCCCCCACCCCCGCCCCTTTCTTTTACCGTTGCGTTGCCTTTTACCGTTTCTGCTGCGCAGCTTCTCTCTCTTACCATCTGGTCCTTCCCCTTTCCCCTTTCCGCACTCCACTTTCCACCTTCCTCTTATCAAACGTCAGTCCTCGTCGCAGTCGTGTGCGACGTCAACGTCGTCGTACTTTCGTCTCGTCTCATCTCCGTCCTTTCTGCGTTCGGCTTACACCTTGCTGCTGTCGCTGTCGCTGTCTCAGCTGCTGCCTGGTGCCTGGTGCCTGCTGCTGCTTCTCTGTCTCTGTCTCGGCGTGTGGGGTACTCTCGTTTTGGCTGGAGGTGGCTTTTTGCTGTGTGTAGCGCAGGTCTAGAGGTGCGCGCAGCCAGCCAGCCAGCCCCTCGCTCGTTAGGTACTCGTTTCGTATGTTTTTTTTCCTTTACTTTCCTCCTGTCTTAGGTAACACACACACACACACACACAGAAATGAGAACCGAGCAGCAGTGGCCTCCTCCTTCACCTTGCAGCACATCTCTGCTGAGAGGCACGAAGAAGAGAGAGAGCCAGCAGGTGCTACACCCCACCCCACCACCACCCACCCGTTCGTTGGTTCTCTTTGGGTTTTTTGAAGGTGTGTCGTCTCTCCGAGTGCGTTAGGTGCGCATCAGCATCATCATCGGTGTGCGGCAGGGAGGGGGAAATGGGAAGGGGGAGCGTGATTTATGCCAGCCAATGGTTGCGTCTCTCTGGATACGTGTGGTAGGTGTGCCACAAGACCGTTAGTTGGCTCTCTCTCTCGCTCTGTCTCTCTGTCTCTGTCTGCTGTCTGTGACTGGAGCACGCTCCACCTTCTCGGTAGAGAAGCGCCCACGTGCGCTAAAAAATGGCGACGGACGGGCAGCGACACAACTCTCGGCGCTCGCACCTATTAGCGTTCAGCTCTGCCACCCAGCCACCCGTGCTCCTGGCTCGGGAAACGGGGAAAACTTTTCTAATTAGCCAACAGTGCAACAGGGTGGAAGGGGCATGCGGCAGGCAGAGGGGTAGGGTAGGAGCCAGGCAGAGCAAAAAACTCTGCTCTTTAAGCCCCCCCGCCCCTCCATGGCCGCCTCTTTATGGATTTTTCCGACTGCCTGCTGGTTTTTCTTTTTTGTTTCGTTTTCTTTTTCTTTCTCTCATTCTTTTCTCTTCTGCCATTTCCCCTACTCTCGCTCTTTCCTTCGTCTTCCCAGACGGTCCTGGCGGTGTCAGTGTCCTCGTTAGAGGATGCTGAAACATTTTCCCGCTGGCTTGTGCGCAGCGATTTTCTCATATTTTCCATCCCTCCATCTCCATCTCCGTCTCGCATCTTTTGTTGCAGATAAAATCGATGGCATTTTATAGCAATTTAATATGACCTTCGCTTCGCTTTGGCACACAAATACTTGTACACATATATATTTTTCTTTTTTTTTGTTTGTATTTCTGTACTTTTTCATAGGCTCTTCTCACACTCTCCCACGTCCACTCCCAGTCTGTCGTCTCGTCGCTGCCTGCCTCCGTTTTTGTAGGCGGTTTTTGTCTATAAGGCTGCTGCGTTTTTCCCTCAAGTTTTCTGCTCTCTGCGATGTTTTTTCGGCTCCACCGTCAACAGGTCGTATGCGCAATCTGTTGCCCTTTGCCAGAGGTCAGCTGATTTGACATTGAACTCGCTTCTTTCATTCGCCCCATCGGCCCTATGGTCTGCCATTGGAATCCTTCTTTATAATGGAACCCATCGATGGGGCCATCATAATCGAATATCATCTGAGTATCTATAGCATGGAATAGACGGAGAATTAGTCTTGTTTTTGTTCACTGATTGTTAAAATCTCTCTGCTGATAAGTTCAAAGAAAATTTATTGGTTGTGGGTTTAGAGGGTGAATAGCACCCTAGCTATTTTCGTAGCTTTCTTTTTTAAATTAAATTAAAGCAAAATTAAAGTTAAGTTAAAATTAAAATTTAAATGGACCATCCATTTCGGGGTCCCCAATTTGGAATCTCTCAGCAAAATAGATATTTAATAAG